AAACGTGAAATTCATTTCTATTTCACCTGCCCCTCACACAGAGTCAGAAGACAGGATTACACAACAGTTCAGAGCACCTACAGTTGGGCAAGGGGCTGCCCTGGTGATCCTTGGGCTGATCTGAAACTAACCAGCCATGTGCTCTAGCACAAGCCGTCCGAGCCTCTCCAAGTGTCTGTGCATGCACAAGCAAGTGTGAGTGTGTGTGTGTGTGTGCGCGCGTGTACATAATGAGCACCTAAATCATGGGAGGGCTGATAAAATTAAGTGAGAAAATGGATGTGAAAATTCTTATACAAACTAAGTCTTTTTCACCTCTGTGCACTTTTCTGTGCACCTTCCAATGAATCTATAAAAACATCAAATTATATCAAAACTATTCATTTAGTAAATATGTGAATCTCTTTTCCTCATTTTTCTTTCTATGGCCAGGTTGTCAGCACTTAAAGTAAAAGGATTGTGACTTACAGAGTTCTCTGCCCCCCAATATTCTGTGCGTGTACTGCATAAGAAATGAGGAGGAAAGAAAGAAAAGTGGAAACGCTTTCTGGTGGTGGTGATGATGATGATGATAGCATAATAAAGTAAAAAACTATATACATAGATATATGTGTACACATACATAAAGGAAATACCAAACTACATTGGAGAGAGCAGCTGTATTCTTCAGGTGGCAGGATTATTCCAAATATTACAGGAGCATAGGTTTGTTCTCTTTTTAATGCTCTTCTGAATTACACACTCTTGGTGAACACGTAAGTTGGATCATGAGTATTGTAGTGGTGCTTCACTCCATACAGAGTAGAGAGACGGGACAGAGAGAACATGGAGAGACGCTGAGCCCCTACTCTGGCCACATGTAATTGCACAGAGGAAAATAAAGATGGCGGGCAACACTGGACACCTTCCTCTGCCCCTGAAAATCACCCATGGTGCCTACACTCACTTCGGGGGCTCTCAACTCTGGCTATGGAATCTCAGCCACAGCCCCTAGGGAGAGGGCACAGAATGGGAGCCGTGGCTGTGAAGTGCTGAAGGTCTGGGCTTGGTGGTGGCTGTTGCAGGTGGATACCCTGGTGGACACCGGAAGGGACCAGCAGAAGCCGGAAAGAAGCTGCCCTGGAAGAAGGTTGGTGTCCCTTGAATCCCACTTCCGTACCCACAAGGGAGTGGCCACCTAGGGGCCTGTGCCCACCCTGCTGCTGTCCCTGTCCCTCAGCCTCAGCCCAGAACATCCGGCTGAGTCTCCAGATACCAGCGAGCTCTGGGCAGTGCCACCATGAATTATTCATCACCCCTTCATTGTGGTCTCAGGATGGGGCCGCCAGCGCTGACTCCATCGCCAAAAATGTGGAAAAAGTTTATTTATTCCTCCAAAACATTCCTGATTTGTAATGTGCTTTCTAAAAATGTTCTAGCTGACCAAGCCCCTGTTATATTTAGCCTCAGCATTTAAAAGAAATGCTCTTTACACTTTATAAGGCTGGCCCTGAAATGCAAGGATTTGCTCCTGGCCGGTTCCTTTCTCCCCAGGAGGGGGCAGAGGTGCCCTTAGCCGACAGGAAGGGCCTCTTTCCGGCTCAAGGCTCTGGAGCTCGCTGTGGTTGGACAGCGGGCCGGAAGAGTTCCTGAGCCGTGTATCACTCAGGCCCCAAAAGGAGGCATGCAGGCTGTGTCTTCCCCCGCAGCCCTGTGGCCATCTTGCCCTGGGGCCTCAGAGGCCCGGCCACTGTCCCTTGGCCCGCCCAGCAGTTTGTTTTGCTTTTGGTTTCTTGTTCAAATGGCCAGACAATCTCAAGAGAAGTGGGTCCCAGCCTGCTGGGGTAGGAGGCAGGCAGACGGCGGCCCAGGAGCTTCCGCCACTCCAGGATGATGAAACATCCTAAGCTGTGGCCAGGGGACCTTGAAGAACTAGGAAGTCGCAACTGAGATTAGAGGCACTGTCTGTGTGCAGCAATAGGACACTGCTTATGAGTGCTTCCACCTGCAAGATGTCTACATAAATCAGTTAGTCTCACTCTGAGCAGGCCCAAGGTAGGAGGCATGGTCATCACTCCCATTTTACAGAGAAGAAGCAAGGCAGGTGCTGTCTTAATGAGTTCAAGCTGTCGGTTGTGCTGCTCACAGCTCTGTGAGGCACTGACTGAGGTCCCTTCCAGTGGCCAGGTAACTAACATAGGAGAAGGACAGAAAAGTGAGGTCACTTTGCCAAGCCATAGGCGGGAAGGGCAGAGCTGGGTACAGGCCCCCTCTGAGGTTGGTGTATCCCTTCCACCCGCACCCAGAGACCAAGAGATCCACAGGACGCTGGTGTGGGGATTGTCCTCACTGGTGGCCGAGTGGAGCACTGGGGCCTGCTGGGAGTGGAGGGTGATGAGCTGCCCAGCGGGGACGTGCAAGGCCCAGGTGTATGGACGGCCTGGGCTTCACCCTGTCTTGCGCGTAGGAGGACCTAGGTCGTGCACAAGGTTGTGCTGTCAAGGTGAGCTGACTTGTGAACCTCTGAGCTTCGTCCTTCCCCTTCCCAGAGGGCTCTGCGTAGACCCCGCCCTGGGTCTGAGACCCCTTCCCAGCGCCCTCCTTGCTCTGCACTGGGAGACACCCTCACCGACACGCACTCACACGGCAGCAGACGGGCAGCAGAGCGCGGTTGCACCCAGTACACCACTGGAGGGGCGATGGCTTTGTCTGGGATGCTTGACAGACGGCCATGCGCAGTCATTTGCAGCCAGTCTTTGCCAGGCCCTGCGATGTGAGGGCAGAGAGGGCAGGGACGGGGGAGCCCGGGAAGCCACATCCAGGCCCACAGGTAGCTCCGAGAGGGGCACAGGGGAGCTCCTGGTTCCTCCCAGCTCCTGGGCTCCAGACGCTGGGCCCTGCTGCAGGCCAGGGGCAGGGCACGGATGGTCTTGTCCTTTGTGGTCCCCTCCGTCCAGCCCACACATGCTGAAGGGACTGGCCGACTGGTCCTTCCACTGGGCCTTCTCGGTGGGCCTCTATTTCCTGCCGGGACCTTAACTCTTATAGAAAAAATAAATTCAGGCCCCCTCCCCACTGCCACTGTAAACAAAGACGGCTGTGTGACAGCGGCCCGGGGTCCCCAGGCACCTTGTGGTGGGGATTCCCAGATTCTCAGCTTGGACCTGACTGGCCAGTGCAGTGGGCAGAGCTCAGAGGCATCGGAAGGGACAGACCTGCCTCCCCCTCTGCCCGGCCCTCCTGCCCTCCCTGTCATCGTAACCACCGTGGCACCGGCCCGGGCGGCAGGACCGGCCCTGGGCTCTGGGTGAGGGCTGGGGAGGCCAGGCCTCGCCATGTGGCTGCTCAGGCACATCTTTGCTTCACTCTGAGTGTGTACCACAAGAGTTCCAGGCGTCCAACAAGCTCAGGCTCTCATTTCTAAAAGTGAACTGTGCTGCTCACCATTGGCATTGTCTACAACACGAAACAAGCTTCACTTTGTGGGCTCAGGACCGCAGCCACAGGAAGTGTGGCTCCCACTGGATTTCCTCTCTCACGGGTGAAGCTTGGGGTGGAACAGGTTACCCACCTGTGTGATGGGGACATCAGCCTACTCACGTGTGGACAGGTGGCTCGGGCATGGGTCAGCTGTAATCATGACTGTGTGTGGCTAACTTTTTATCCCACCCATGGATGTACACGGCCGCTGCATGCAAAATGGAGAAGACATATGGCCCCACGTCCTAGAAGGGGACTCTCTGAACACGGCTAAGCAGTCTCCCCGTGTCCTCTAAGCCCTAGGGTGTGCTGTCAAGCCAGGAGGCCATTTGCATGCCCAGACAAGCTCAAACCCAAAGCCAGACAAAACCAAGGGCTGCTGTACAGTCCTCTGTCCTTGGAAAAGTGGTGGAAGTGGAGTTCTCAGGGCCGGCCCTTCTTCCACGATTCCTCCACAAAGTCTCTGTTAGTTTCATAATAATGAGGCAAAAATAATTCCTCCTCAGTTTGAGCTATATAGGAAAACAAATCTTTCAAATGATATTAGTTATTGAGTGCATAAGAAAGGACTTGGCCCCTCACCCGAGTTCCACCAATGTGGAAAAATGGTGACTTGCTGAGCATTTCTGTTCACAGAACAAACATTTGCATTGCACATATGCATATTCACACATATATGTGTGTACATACGTACAGACATGTGTTCAGGCACGTGTATACACGCTTACTAATTGGTAACGCATGTCATGCCCCACAGTCTGACCCACGCACTCAGCAGGAGAAAGCACCTTCCGATTCCAACAGAGGAAAACAAGCTTGCTTCCAGTTTGCCCCCGTAGAGCAGAGACTTTGTTTTAATTAAGAGTAGAGACCACTTCTTGGTCTCGATCCACGAGGCTGAGGCAGTGGGTAATTACAGGGACTTAGACGTGAAGATGGAAGGCATCTCTTTTTCTTCACTAAGAAGAAATATGCTCAGAAGTGTGTAGCACTGCAATCCACACTGTCCATTTCTTTCAGTTTCTAAACCTGATGAAAGTAGGGATTAGACAGAATTTCTCCTTATGTAGGTATGAACGTACAAAGGAGATACATGTTCTGGCAGCTTTCTGTGCCTTACAAATAAAGCTCATACTTTTTGAATTATAACTCTACAACATTATCTTTTTAAAATAGTAGCATTCAATTATTTGCTTCTCTAAAAAACAAGGATAGAGCTGGGGATTTAGCTCAGTGGTTCCACTGCCTGCCTTGAAAGCAAAAGGTCCTGAGTTTGATCCTCGGTACCAACCACCCCCCCAAACAAGACAGTATATCAAAAATGGAAAAGGAAAACACGAAAACATCCGACCCAGCAGAATGCTGCACCCTCCTCTGACACCCGGGCCCTCCCGGCACTGAGGCCCTGGCTCCACCCTGAGAAGCCAGAGCCTCCCAGACCTGAGTCTCAAACATAATCCCAGGCCCTCTACCCCATCCCTCTGTTTGTTTATTTCCCCCCAGGAATCCACTGGACCAGTCACTGAGAGGTTAATGGAAGAACAACTTTATTCACAGAGGCTGGGGGTTTAGGATAACAGAACACCCAGCAACGGCCCTTCTGCTACATTTCACGTGGATTACACTGGGCCTGGGCCTCACCGGTGGGGTCTCAGCAGAGCTCCCTAAACCCCTCACCCTAAGCCCGCCAAAGCCTTCCCACTGGTCTGGGCAGAGTCCTCCCCATTCCAGACAGTGTCCGGTCAGCAGCCCTCGGCTCAGTGTGGCTGCAGGGCCAATTCTCAGAAGGCCCCTCTGTGCCTGCAGGTGCGATGCCTCCCTGCCTGCAGCTTCCTTGCCAACAGGCCTAGTGGCAGGCCTTCTTGATCTAAAGCCCACAAGCATTTTCATGCATGTCCCAGGAAGTACTTAAACAGTTATTGGAAGCCCAAGAACTCGCGATGTTTTATGCTTCTCCTACACCAGATACAATGAAGGCTCCTCTGGGGTTCAGGAAAGCAAACTTCAGAGCTCAGGAGCTCGTTCCAGAAGACACGCCACAGTCAGGGAGGATTCCCCACAGCTTTCCGTGGCCTGGACGTGAACATCACCATTTCTGACTCAGATCCCAGCTGCAGACTCCCCGGGGTTTAAGGTCGGCCTCCAGGCCTGCTTGGGGCTTGCAAGGAGGAACCCCATCCACCCTACACCTCAGCCAGTTCCCTGGCTCCCCCCAACATTAACCCACCCCACTCTCCATCTGCTTTTTGTGTTTCACTCCATTTTTGTAACTAAATGAGGTCCTTCATTACATGATTCTGGAAAATGTTGTAAAAACCAGACCTAGATCTTGATAAATCCTGGAAATCAAAACTGTGACGTGCCTGTGTCCTTCCCCACACCCTCCCCGGCTCCCCGGCTCCCCTGAAATCTTCTGATTCCCTAAAGCAAAAGCTGGGGTGTGGGCTCTCCAGGAACAGGCGCAGGGGGCATGGCACTGACATCACAACGCGACAAGACGCTGAGTTACACAGGCTGTGCCTTATAGAAGCTGTCGGGCATTACAGGAAAAAGAGCTGAGCATTGAGGCAAAGAGTAACCCCTGTTGCTTTTACTGTCCAGAAAGAAATCACGAAGAAACTTCTCTATGTAAAACACTACTGCACTGGCGGTGGTTTCTTGGTTTCTACCTAACGCTGGTCGGAAATGCTAACCAGGCCTACGCCCCCGATCCTCCCACCAACCCGCGCTCGTCCGCAAAGGGGACCCAGGCCTCTAAGGGCTGCAGACTGAACGCGAGGGTAACCCTGCGCTTCCGGTGGAAAAGACCCCCAGGGCTGTGGGTCCCACCCTCGGGTCGGCCTGGGCCTGGGCCGGTGCAGGCGCGGATCAACCTTCAGTTGCCCTTAAGGGCAGGGAATTCTCCTGCGCCGGCTCCGGTGGCCGCCTGGGCGCCCAGGTCGCCCGGGAGGGGTCTTCGCAATCCAGAAGCCGCTGCCTGCTGGGCAAGTCCCTCCGAAGGAGCGCGCCCACTCGCCGCAGCGGCGCTGCCCGGAACCCAGCGTGGACCCATCGAAGCTCATTCCTCTCCGGGAGTCTGGCCGCGGCTCCGAGGGCCCGACGAGGCCAGGGAAAGAGCCGCCGCGGGCTGCCGGCTCTACTGGAAGGGGAGCGCGGGGTCAGGAAGCTGCAGAGGGAAGTAGGTGAGGAAAGGGATCCCCAGCTGGAAGAATCCGCCCTGGACGTGCGGATCGAGCATGAGGGAGGCGTTGAAAGGCGGCCGGAGTCCCGAGGAGGCGGCCAGGAGCGAGGAGCCCAGAGCTCCGGGCCCCGGCTTGGCGGCCCCCAGGCCCTCACTCCCTCCGGCCGGCTTCTGGCCCTGCCTTCCCGCCAGGATGCTATCGATGCTGAAGCTCGCGGACCTGTCAGTGCTCTTCGGGGAGCTGCGGGAGGCGGGGCGCGGAGGGGACCCCGGGTCGTCCTCCGTGCGCGCTGGCGCTGCCACGCAAGCCGCCGTGGTTGCTGCTCCCTGCGCTGCGTTGCCCGCGTCCTCGTCCTCGAACTTGGGCCCCGGCCGGCGCAGGGGCGCCGGCGGAGAGCGGCTCTCCCCGGGGGTCGAGGGGCGCGCGGCGGCCGCCTGGTGGCCGGGGGTCCTGGCGCCCGCACGCCCCTCCCCGCTCCCCACGGGCAGCTGCGCCTCCGCGCCGCGTTCCTGCAGCTCCGCGCGGGCCCGTTTGGCCTCCGGGGCCCCGGCTCCGGGCTTGGGCTTCCTCTTCCGGCGCCGGTAGTTCCCGTTCTCGAACATATCCAGGCAGCGAGGGTCCAGCGTCCAGTAGCTGCCCTTGCCCGGCCGCCCCTTCTCGCGTGGCACCTTGACGAAGCACTCGTTGAGCGAGAGGTTGTGGCGGATGGAGTTCTGCCAGCCCTGCCTGTTGTCGTGGTAGAAGGGGAAGCGGTCCATGATGAACTGGTAGATGCCGTTCAGTGTGACCCTCTGCTGGGGCGCGTCCTGGATCGCCATGGTGATGAGCGCGATGTAGCTGTAAGGCGGCTTTTGGGGTGGCTCTGCCCTGCCCGAGGCAGCCAGAGCGGCCGCAGGGGCGAAGGCCAGGGGCAGCCCGGGCCTTTCCGGGCCGTACAGATAGAGCATGGATGAGGCGGCCAGAGCTGGCACCGGGGGACCAAAGAGGTGGCTCATGCTGAGCGAACCCGCTGGAGCTTAGGGCCCGCGCCGCGCCAGGGCCCTCCCGGGAGCCCTCCGTGCCTCTGCCCTGCGCTCTGCCGCTCTCCCCAGCCGCTGCGCGCTCTGTCCCTTCTTCATGGCTTTAAAAATGTTAAATAATTGTTGTAAGTTTGCTATTATATGTTGACTTAGCCCTGGAAAATAAATTGTCTATGATAAACAGTCGTTATGTTCTCAGCCCACCCACATTAATTAAAATTTCATTGCTGAAAAACTCCAAGCTTTTCCCTCCACGTGTCTTTTTGATACCAGCCAATGGTTTTCGGGGCTATTCCTTCATTTGTTTATAGAATTAGTCTGTTGATAAGTCCGCCCACCCAAGTTGAATCAAGCTGTGTTTATTTGGAAAAATTTCCGGGCACCCAATATATAAACGCACTGATCTGATGTTTGAAATATCACGTCCACCCCTTGACGCTGTGAGCACACACAGTCAGCAGGCAGGATCTGCGCTCCCTCAGCTCCCGCGGCCAGGAAGGAGGGATGGAGCTGGGGGCAGGGAACCCAGGCTGCCTTCTACTGCTGGCTGGGGGAGCCCCTGAACCCAGAGCCCCCACAAAAGGTCTTTTCTTCTTCCCCAGCTAGAGGGAGACTGGAGAAAAGCTTGGGGGGGAGCGGGAAGCGGGTATCCTGGAAACATTTTATCCCCTGGTGAGAGGGAGGAGAGAAGGTTTTTTGCCTGATGAGAAGCCCTCCCTGGAGAGATTCTGGGTCGTCACACCGTCACCCTGTCCCAGGCAGGCACTCTGCAGGGCCCCAGATGCCCAGCGGGCCCAGGGACCAGGGGAGGGGTGGACCCAGGAGCCCAGCCTCTCTGGGAGGGGTGCCGAGGGCCCTGGGCACCTGGTCCATAGCTCCCTGGAGAAAGGCTTCGAATGAGCCCGTGTGGTGAGCTGAGGGCAGCAGAAGGTCTCCGGTGAAGTCAAGGTCGCCAGCTAGGAGCACCGTAAAAGGGGAATTTGGCAGCTGGCAGGGGAGGGCGGGTATTTGTGAATGCTGGTCTTTTGCTTTATATTCTGTGCTTTCCTGTTTATAACAAGGAGGGGGTTATAACAACTTTACAAGTGCACGCAGCTGGCCCGTGATTACATTAAGCATTTGGGAAGCCCGACGGCCCCCCACACCCGCCCTAGGGTGCAAGTACCCCCACTCCGGTTTTGCTTTACATTTAGCACACATTGCACTCTGAATCGAAAATCCTGCGTGCTATTGACCCCACCAAGCTGTCCCCTCCCCCTCTCCACCAAGGCGGGGGCTGGGCATATAGCGTGACCACTTAGGTTTCTGATCTGCGGAGTATTCTTTTAAAGGAAAAAGAGAACACGGCGGATAACTGAATTAGTGCTTCGTTTCGTGCAAAGTGGAGGGATGCCGAAGACCAGAGGGAGGGGTGAGGTAGGAGGTGGGCGTAGAAGTGGCCAGGGCCAGCCCTGCTGGAGAGGACTGGGGAGGACTGCAGAGGACTACAGGTGCTCTGACCGCCAGCCGCTGTCAGGGTTGCCAGGCTGGGGCTCCTGCGCTGCTCAGGCGGCCTCCCACTCCCAGGTGAGGAGTCTAGAAAGCAACGAAGTGTGTGGGGCTCCAAAGCCCGGCCCTTGGAAGCCACAGACAGCTGGGAAGAGGGCACGTTTGAAATACCAAAAAGGAAGCTGCAATTGGGGTCGCAAAGCCGGTTTGGGTGCAGGCCCTGCCTGGGGCGCAGGTCCGGCCCGAGAGGCCCTCCAGGTCTCCCCGGAAGGCGCTCGTTTCTAACTTTGGCCAAGAGCACCACTGGCCCCTGGCCAGTCCTGGAGATGCCCCGACCTGGCCGGGATGGAGCGGGGCGCTGTCCTCTCGGGAACCCCATCGCTGCACCCCTTTCAACCCTAGGGCAGAAAAGGGGCCTTGGTGCCCCTGCCTTTGCTCCAGAGACACCGAGGTCATCCGGGCGCTCCACATCGACGCCTCCAGCGAGCCCTGGTGTAGAGGGACCCAGCTCCCAGCCTCTGCTCCCGCTCAGATAGATCCAGGCCCCTGGATAAACTGGCATCACGCTGCCACCTCTCCCTCACCTCTGCGCCACGCAGCCCTCCCAGGGCTCGCCGGGTGCCTCCAGCACGCACGGCCCTGACTCTCGGGAACGCGCGTGGTCCAGGCGCATCTTGCAAACTCTAAGGCAAATCCGAGCTTGAAAGGAGCAAAGATACACAGTCCGATTCAGGCGGGGGCGGGGGCGGGACGCGGGCGGACCCGCGCGGCGAGTGGGCGGGTTGCCTGTGAAGGGGCGACCCGGGCACCCGAGCTCCGTCAGCAGCGTGGAAGCGCGCGCTGCCCCGCGTCCGCAGGGCTGGGCAAGGCTGGGAGGTCCAGCCCGGAGCTCAGCCTGAACCCCGCGGGTCGGCTGGGCTCGTCCCGGTTCCCAGGTGGGGAGTTTGTAATTTGAGCCCGAGCCCGGGAGGGGCGAAGTCGGGAGCCGCCCCGTCGGGCACAGTTCCACGTTTCCGGGGAGCCGGGTCGGGCCTCGAGCAGGAGCGGATGCGCCCCCGTGCGGAAGCTGCGGGCCGCGGCGGGCGGAGGAGGCCGCAGGGGGCCGCCGCGCCTGGGCGACCGGAGCTGCGTGGGTGTCCCCGCGCCAGACGGGGACGCGGACAGCTCCTCGCGGTCCCGGGTCCCCAGATCGCACCGGGCGGCGTCTCCGAAGCCAGCGGTTGCGAGCGGGAGCCCTGAGGCCTCCGCCGGCCCAGGGCACGGTGATGACCCGACCCTGGGGCTGGCAGACAGGGGCTCAGCGTGGGCCGAGGGCAGACGGCACGGTCCGCGTCTCCTCTAGGGACTGAGCGGATATGCGCTCCGCCGGAGGAGGGGAAGAGCGGCCTGGGAAGCGGGGAGGGCCAGGGCCGAGCTCCGCCCACCGCCCCGCGTCCACTCCGGAAAGTGAGGGGCAGGCGGCCAGTGGCCCTCGACCTCGCCTCCCAGAGGTCTACGTCCCTCTCCCTGCGAACCGAAGGCGGTTGCCCAGTCGGACACAACACGAAAACGCAGCGGGCGTGTGTGTGAGAAGAGCAGGGTAGGGAGAGGAGAGGGCGCCAGAACCCTGGAGGGAGATGAGCGTCGCTGACCGAACCGAACCGCGGGGGCTCTAAGGCGCCGACAGTGTCCTCGGTCCCATTCTGCAGCCAGAACCTGAGGCCGGAAGTGAGCCTGGGTCTCCCTGAGGAAGTGTGCCAGAGACAAGACAAGCACGCTGAGGCCGCTCCCCAGTGGGCCACAGGGACTGGCGGGACCCCTCTCCCCAACCCTCACAGCCTCCCTCAAAGGCAGGATCCACCCACTTTACAGATGAGGAAACTGAGGCTGGACCAGGGAGCTCCAAGAACAGAGCAGGGATCGGAACCCACAGGCTTCCTCCAGAAGCAGGTGCTCAGTCGGAGAGGCTGATGGACCGGAGGAGTAGACCACGGTGTGGACAGGTGTGGACAGGCCCAGAGCTGGGAGACTGGGGGGGTCCCCCATCCTCCCTTACAATCCCAGAGTCCCTCTCTCTCCCTGCCCCTCCTGCTCTGGAAAGAGAGAGAAGGCTTCCTGCGCTGGCTGCAGGTGGTGAAGGTCGGACCAGAAAGAAGCAAGGGCTGCCCAGCCTGGTGGGTGGAAGCAGGGCTGGGCAGGCCTTTCCAAGAGACGCACTTATTTATAGCCCACCTTGTTCCCAGAAATGACTGAAAGGCTCCAAATGGGCACTGCCCTGCCCGGCTCGGGCCTGGGCCTGGTAGAGGAGCCAGTTCCAGCAAAACCCCAGGCTCCCTGCTGTGCACAGACGCTGTGTCAGGGCCCCCAATCCCCACCCACTCCACCATCCTCTTATTTTCCCACTGAGAAACTGGCCAGGAGAGCTTAGGGTAGTGGGGGCAGTCACAGGAAGCCCCCACTTGGCTTTTGCAAGGCCCTGAGTGAGTACGGCCTGCGGATGGAACCTCAGACACATCCTCGGCTGGGGAGGGGTCACCTGGGAAGTAACACAAGCCAGGGGGAGGCTTGGGGCCACAGGGCCACAGCTATGCTGGGTCAGAGGGGGCTCTCCGACCACTGGGACCTCCTAGGGAGGACTGGGGTCCCAGCACAGAGCTGCACCCCAGGACAGCACAGAAGCCTTCTGCTACCAGGCTCCATTTTTGGAGACAGCAGGGGGCCAGCACCCTTGTCGGCCCTCAGCTCCAGCCTTCCATACCTGCCCCCAGGAAGAAGTCCCAGGAGCCTGACACCTGGGACAGCCCAGCTCCCAGACACCAGAGACCCAACTCCACAGCAGACATGGCTTCCTCTCTGCTCTCCTTCCTGTAGAGCAGGGGTGTTGAAAACGTCCAGAGCAGCCTGGCACGCGTTAAAGGTGCGTGGTGTCTTCCCAGGCACAGCTGCTGTGCACGAGGAGGGATGGAGGGGCTAGGATGGTGGTGGCCAGCCTTCTGACTGCCCTGACACTTTCCACCCCTTCCTTGCATGCCTGTGTCAAAAAGCAAACATTTCAAACGCCTTGGTGAGCTGAGGCCATGCAAGACAGAGGCGGACAGGGAACGGTTCTCTGGGAAGTTTTGGAAAGCATTTCAAGTATGTGGTGTCAGAAAGCACTCCGGAGGGCAGGGCAGGGCAGGGCAGACAGCCCTCAGTGGCCCTGGCCCAGCCTGCCCCCCTCACCTGCACCCGCTGTGTATCCCTAGCAGAGCTGCCGCTAAGGCATAGCACCACAAACCCCTGCTTACCTAGACACCCATAGAGGACTTGGTTCCCAGGCTGGAGACCCCAGTGCTTTCTGAAGACCTTGAGATTTTGGGTAACGGTAATTCCCGTCTGATACCCCTGCCCCAACCCCTCCCCTTTCTTGGATTTGGGAGAGGGGATGGGACTCCTGGGGGGCTGGGAACCACTTTCCTTTCCTTTCGGTCCTCCAGGGCACAGTGCTGGCAGCAGCCCCCAGGCCGTGGTGGGGAATGAGGAGGAGAGGACCCCAAAGGGTTTATGAGCCTCTTTTTCCTCTCCTCTCCCTTCTGATCTTCATTTCTTTTGGGGTGGAGGGGGGGAGAGCGGGATCCACCATGAGCCCCCCCCCCCCCGGCCAGGGCCATGTGGAAGGGCAGGGTGGCTGTGGTCACCGTAAAAGGGTGTCGGAAAGGGGAGATTGATTCTTTGTGCGGGCAGACAGGGTCTTCGAATGAACCCCTCCTCCAGTGCCCGGGCGACTCAGGACACAAGTCATGAAGGGTTTGTATGGCTGAGGACAGGCACCCGAGCCAGGGCAGTGCAGACCACCTAGCTGCAGACCCGAAGGTCCTTGGAGGTCCGCACAGCACGACCCTGGCGGTCCCTCTTTCTGCACACCTGGGTTGGGGTGCAGCCTCAGAGCCTGACCGGAAGCCATGGAACAGCCGCTGCCGCTGTGGCTGTGCTGCCGCCACCACCCCGGGGGGCTGGGAGAGTGGGGGTTCCAGGAGCATCCATCACAGCCAGACTCTGGGCAGTCACAGCCAGCAGCTCCCTCAAGGTGAACCTTAGAGAAGCCCTCTCTGGGTGGCGTTGGAGTCGCTTTCATTTTATTTTCGGTGTTTGCCATCTACCCAGCACTGTCTTCTTACTGGGTGGTCATGGAACACCGCTTCCGGCAAACCGAGTTTGCAGAGTTTGGGTGGACTGAAGGGCCCTTCCATCCTGGCCCTTCTTTCCCCCGAGGAGGAGGTGGTGAGGGGACCTGTGTGCCCAGCACAGTCTGTGTGGGGCGCCGGGCTCCTGCCAGCATCCCCTAGAGAGGCACTGGACTGCGCCGTGGGTGCTGGGGTGCTGAGCACAGTATGCACTGCAGATGTGGCAGATGTCGCGATACTAACTACTCGGGGAGCAGAGACAATAAGCTGCTAGGCCCAAGGCCTGAGCTTCCGGGAGTCGGGAGCCCCAGGCTGAGCCCAGCCTCCAGGGCAGGCGCAACATGCTGGACTCAGCGTCTGGCGCTTACCCGCACCCTCCACACCCAGAGTCCCTTAACGTGAGAAAGCCTGGGATCCCCAGGAAAGTCCCAAGGCCAGCCAGACACACCCAGGGACAGAGGGGCAGTTTTCCACTCTATGCACACTATCGGCCTGGGTAAAGCCTCAAATACCAGCCAGAGTCGCTGGCGTTCCCAGGGGAGCAGAAGGACCCCCACCAAGCCCTCCAGGTGTGGGGTGGGACTGTCCCCAGCCCCCTCTTCAGGCAGGGCCTCCTCTAAGAAGTCTTCCCAAAGCTGAGAAAGCTGGTGTGTTTCAGTCACAGCACTGGGGTCCTCCCCACACCCTGGCCTCCTGCTGCAGAAGGCTCCCAGGCCTCCTTGTCATAGGGCCCAGGTATCCACGTCGCAAGAAGAGGGCAAACTTTCCAGGAGTTCTCTGCAACATCTGGAGCTCGTGCCAACTCAGTCTAGAACAGCCCTTCTCTCCTGGACGAAGGCCAGAACTGGACAGGAGCAAAAGCGAGTGGAGGGGCCCAGAGTGCAGGCCACCTTCGGGTGCAGGCGGGACCTCCTCTCTTAGCTCGGTCCTGCCGCCTGCACGCAGGACACCGCCAGCCGGCCTGGCCTGCCCTGCGTCAAGTCCTGGGCTCCACAGTTACTGAAAGGAACAAAACGAACCCTTTATGTCTTAACCATGCTACCTCCGGGCCGAAGAGCGAAAGCATCGAGTTGCACGTGTGGGCAGAATTACTACACTTCAGATTTCCCTGATCTGTTTCTGCACTGCGTAGAGATAAAAATGCTGTTTTAACAACCATGAGAACACCCAGACTGTGCTGGGGGCCACTGCACCAAGCAGCATCACCTTTGGCAAAATCGAGTTGAGTTGCCGAATGTTTAATCCACAAAGACCTGCAGGGCAGCAAAGCCTGGCCCACCTGGTGGGGGGGGCCTTTGGTGCCACTGAGGCCCCAAAATTCACACAGGGAGGCCACAGGAGTTGTAGATTTCAGCCAGTGAAACAGATAAGAGACATTCCCCCAGCCACAGTCTACAAATGCTGTGTTGTCATCAAAAATTAAGATGAGATATCAACACAGGAAAAAATCATAATCTCCCTGTTATTTACCGTCTTGAAAAGGTTGATAAAATATAAAACTACAAAACCATCATAAATTAGTTTTTGCAGGACAATGAGGTTTTACATTTTTTCACTGCACTAGGGTAAAAATTTAGAAATCAAATGGATAAGCAAAGGAGTTTGAAACCCACCTCTGACCCAGCCACCCAGGGAGAGAGACATTAACTACAGGAGAATCCATCCCTCTGGGTCCTCACCCAGCGTCAAAATCCTCTCTGGGAAACTACTCAGGGCCAAGGAGTCCGCATTTTAAGAAAGCAAGGGACAGCAGGACTCACCCCGTTGGTTAGCAGATGGGGAATGTTTGTCCTTTCCTCCTGCACCTCCTAAATTGGGGACAGCTGGACCCTGGTAAGGAGCAGCACTATTCTGTTTGGCCAATTGGCTTGTTTTTCTGCGTTTAACAAAATTCAGTACAGCAAGTGAGCAGCTAGCCACCCTCCAGGAAGCCCTTCACAGTGCAGCAGTTTCTCAGGTTGCCCAAGGAAAAAAAAATCCCCAGGGCGGGAAGTTTTCATGAAAAGCGCTTTCTGTCACTGATCGACCCAGCAGGCACACACTGCCTTCCCCCGTGGTCACTGCTGGGGTGGACAGCCACCTGTGTGGCAAAAATAATCAGAACAGGTGGGTCGGTCACCAGACACACCTGGCTGTTTTCTTTTTGAATGCAAGAACACAAACACACTATTTGAACTTTGGGCAGAAAAACGACATGGGTTTATTTTAAGGTAAATACAACAATTAAGACCACATAAGACAAACACAGATGAAGTTAAATTTTTCTGCTTTTTTTTTCTTTTAGGAATACTAGGGTGAAATCTACTATACAAAACCATCAAACTTTGTAAATAAAAAGTATCAGATACTTGACTTCTTTATCCACCAACAAAAAATAAATTATTTCCTTGTTTTTGTAAAAGACCTACAGCTGGGAAAAGAATTATAGCTCACCCACATAGGTTTCTTGAGTTAAATTTGGCAGAAATGGTTGGGCAAGATGAAAAATTATCCAGTGAACTCAACTTTAAATATTATATTAATGGCTCTGAACAACAACAAAAAATAGCCCGATTACAAATCCTCCACACATTTTTACAGCACGGTTAGAGAAATTTAAAATTACACACAACACACACATTATCCGTAGGGACCCCCATACACCTATGGGGCCGCTGCGGAAAGTCATTGGTGGGCCGCTATGGGATCTGGTCCATAACTTAATCTTTGAGGCCCCCAGGGGGGCAGAACACAGCTTCCAGCAGGGGAGGGGGCCTCTAGAGCAATGTTCGTCTCGCTGGCTGTCCCTTTAGCGGGGCTCGCTGGGGTCCCAGGAACGGGGCGTCGCGTTAGTTACCTGCGCGCTTCCCAGCCCGCTGGCTCCGAGTCTGGGGAAGAGCCGGCGGCCGAGTTTTGTTTCTCTGCAGCTGCACTGGCGGAGAGGGTCTCGTCCCGGGGCGGGCAGGGCCGGGTCAGTACTTGGAGCAGTCGTAGGAGTAGGGGGCTGCGTGGCGGTAGAGGGACGGCGTGGCTCTGTAGGGCAGCTGACAGCTCGCGTTGCCGACCTGGGACTCCCCGAGGGCCGAGTTCTCCATCCCCAGCCGGTGCGAGTTGAACATCTCCCGCACGTTGGGGAACGGCTGCTGCTGGGCCGCGAACGCGTGCCCGGGGAGGTGGCTCAGGTCCCCGCCGTGGTTCAGGTACCAGGAGGCCGCCTGGGCCGCGGCGGCCCCGGGCTGCGGCGCGGGCGCGGGCTGCGGCGCCTGCGGGTGGTGGCCTGGGTGCTGGTGGTGGTGGTGGTGGCCCGCGGCGGCGAGCGCGCCCTCCTGGCCGGCCGCGAGGCCGAGTGCGCTCAGCGGCGACGCGGGGCCGCCCGGGTGGTCCGAGAGGGCGTCGTCCAGCGCGGGCCGCTCGGCGCCGGTGTACAGGCTCAGGGCGCGCATGCTGCACTGGTAGCCGCCCGCGGGCCCGGCTTCCAGGCCCTGCGCGCACGGCTGCCCGTAGGCGGCGGGCGGCGCAGCGGAGTAAGACAGCGCGAGCGGCGGCACCGCGAGGCCCGCGCGCCCGGCCGCGGGGCTGAGCTCGGGCCCGGGAGGCGACGCCCGCAGCGTCATGATGCTCTCCACGCTGAAGCCCGGCAGCCCGTTGGGCGCGGCGGCGTGGTGCGCGGGCGGGGAGCCGTCGGGGGACCCGGCCGGAGAGGACTCGGCGCTGCGCGGGCTGCCCCGCTGCGCGGCCTCGGGGCTCAGCGCCTCCACCTTGGTGATGACCGGCAGCGCGGGCGACGCCGCCTCGCTCTTGACCACCACCTTGCGCTCGGCCTCGGGCGCGGCGTCGGCGAGGCCTGGCCCGGCCGGGGCGCCCTGGGCAGCGGCGGGGGGCGGCTCCCGGGCCACGGCGCGCGCCTCCCTCTCCTTGGGCACATCCTTCTTCTTGAAGCGCCGGCGCCGCCGCAGGAAGCTGCCGTTCTCAAACATGTTGTACGAGTCGGGGTCCAACGTCCAGTAGCTGCCCTTGCCCGGCTTCTTGTCGTCGCGCGGCACCTTGACGAAGCACTCGTTGAGCGAGAGGTTGTGGCGGATGGAGTTCTGCCAGCCCTGCCTGTTCTCGCGGTAGAAGGGGAAGCGGTCCATGATGAACTGGTAGATGCCGTTCAGCGTGACCTTCTTCTCAGGCGCGTGCTGGATCGCCATGGTGATGAGCGCGATGTAGCTGTAGGGCGGCTTGACCAGGTCCTTGGGTGCCGCGGGCGCGTGCTGGTGGTAGGGGGCGTAGGGCCGGCCTGCGCCCGCGCCGTATTGCTCGGGGTGGCCGGGGTAGACGCCCACGGGCCCGGCCATGCCGCCGTAGCCGCCTGCCGCGCGGTAGTAGCTCTGCTCGCCCAGGTAGGGCACCACCCCCAGCGCGCTGGGGTCCGGCACGGAGTAGCGCGCCTGCATGCTGCGGGGCCTGGAGCGCAGCGGCCCGGCTGGGGCGGCGAGCGCGATCAGCGCCCCGGGCGGCCCAGCATCCTGGAGAGCGCGCCCCGGGCCCGGCGGGCGGCGGCGGGGACGCCACGCGCGCAGGGGCGCCGAGGGGCCTGGTGCGCGCAGACGCCGGCGGCGGTCCGGGCGCGCCCGCGAGTTGGCAGCCCCGAGGGTCCGAGCCCGGGCCGAGCGTTGCCCGGCCGAGCCCGGAAAAGAGGCGAAGGTCCCTTTTAGGGACTGGGAAAAGTTTCAAAAGTCTTCTTTCCGAAAGCCAGTTTTAACTTTGCGCAGGCCACGCCCGCTCCCGGAACTTTGGCCCAATCCGCGGGCGGCTGCGGGGAGAGGGCGCCAATCAGGGCGAGGCGCGCCCGAAGCTGGCGGCTCTAAGACCCAGCGCGCCCCGAGCCCGGGCGGCGCGGCCTCGGTGGGCGGCTCTCCCGGGACAGTGTCTTGCCTCAGTTTATCGTCGGTGCCTCGGGCGCAGGGGCGCGCGGACGGCAGCAAGGCGTTTCTAGGCAAAGCCAAAGTTGAAATATAATATCGAACTGGTCGCTGCAGCGGTGCCGCCTACGCCCGGGGCCGCCGGACCCGAGGTTCCCTCACGCGACGGCAAACAGCGCGGTGTCCCGGTCCGGCCCTAGGCGAAGCGGGCTCCGGGCGGGCGTCGTCCCCGGAACCGGGCCTGACCCACGGACCGCGGCTGTCGGGAGCGCCGAGTCCCCTCTCGGGTCGGCTAGGGTGACCTCGCTCTCACCGCCGGCTCTGCGCGGCCCTGGGGCACCCCGGGGACCCTCCTGCCTCATCCTGCCCGAGGCTGGGGTTTGGAGCGGTGAGTGCGGACCCGGCTCCTCCTCCGGGCGGCCAGCGAGGCCTCTGCAGGATTCTGCTGCTCTGGACCCTGGCGGGGAGCGGAGCGCGGGGTCTGCGAACCCCCAGGCCCGCTCGGTTCGTTTATCTTCGGGCTGCTTGTCTACTCCCTGACACCTCCGATGCCCGGCCCGCTTGGCCCACTGAACGCAGGCGCCGGGCTGCCGGGCCCAGGCCCCAGGCGATCGCTTGGGTGGCGAAGAGGCCCGCAGGTGAGGCCTCCCCGGCGCCTTCCTCCCGGTCCTCTCCTCGGGTTCTCGGCACAAGGGCGAAGGAGAACCCGCTCCGCTCGGATTCGCGCTGGGCCGAGCTGGGGAGGCAGCAGGCCTGGAGGCCCCTCGCCCGCTTGCAGTGCGGGGCTGAGGACGTTCTTGTGCGGTATTTGTGACTCCCGCTCCTTTCAAAATCCAAAGGAAAACAAAACCCAGGTTCTCGTACCTTGAGCACTTGACGTCTGAAACACTGTTTTACGGATATTCTGGGTTCTTTCTCTAACTTGATCTTTTTCTTTCCTTCTCGCAGGAAAGCAAATTGAAGCGGCCCGTTCCCAGCTCACGGTAAATGATTTGAGCCTTCTCCCCTCCCCCAAACTCTCAGGACAGCTTCAGTGTTTTCAACTCCTTTCTTATTTTCACACACATCTTTAAAAACACAGCTAAGCACTACAGCCGAAGAAAAGAAGCCTTTCTCCCGAAGCACACGGCAGGCACGCGGTTCCCCGCACGATTTTACTGGGAAAGCAAACGCCATGTCTGTGGGCTTCCGGGAGCAGTGTGTACCCTGCCTTACGTGGCGTGTGCGCGGGTGCGCGGTGGCTTTATCACGGCACAGGCAAACGCAAGCGACCTGAATACCCCGGAAAGCGCACTCGGGAGGCCCCGCTCCCCGACCCGGTGCCAGCGAGCCGAAGGCAGAATCGGGTCCCAGGGCCCTGTGCGTTGCTAAAATAACACGCGGTGCGAAGGGCAGGAGGCCGAGTTTCTCTTCCTCCCCTTCAAGTCCCTTCTCGTCCAGGCGCAGCCCGGCTCCTGCGCCCGCGGGCTCCCAACGACTCCGTGGGCGTGCGCGCCCCCTGGCGGCCCGCGGGGGAACTGCTCCGGAAACCGGCCCGCGCGGTTCCCGGGAAGGTGCTGCCACCTGCCGGGCGCGCCGGGCGCTGCACGCTGCCGCAGGACGGCCCCGAGGGAGGGGGGACCATGGGCAACTGCAGCCGCGCGCCTGGGGGAAGGCGGGAGACCCGAGGCTGGGCCAGGGCGCCTGGTCGCTTCCTCACTGGCCCCAGTCCATCCACCCAGCACCTTGCGCCCTTCTCCTTGGGAGTAGGGAAGGGAGCAGAGCTAGGGCCGCTTCAGGGGCTCCCCCTTGGGTCATTGCCACTTTTTAAAGAATCCAGTAAGCAACAAAAACCTCCACAGTCGTGGCTGGGCGTGGCGGCGCACCCCTGCAATCCCAGCACTCTGGGAGGCTGAGGCAGGAAGGTTGCAAGTTCGAGCCCACCCTGAGCACTTTAACAACTTAGTGAGGTCCTGTCTCAAAAATAATTTTTAAAAAATTAAAGGGCTGGGAGACATAGCTCAGTGTGAAGGCCTTGGTATCCCCCCCCAATTCCATGGTCATTTGGCTCCTAGAAATTATCTTTTGCAAGATGAAGCACTTGTTCTTGATGGAGACGGCTCCAGCTAGTTTCACTGATGTGCTGTTCTGGGCAGGAACGGGGAAACGGTGAGCACCAGTCATGGACGGCTGGGCCGCAGACACATGAGGGGACAGGTGGGGCTGGCTCTGGTTAAAAGCAGCTCAACGAGCCCGACTCGGTGGTGCAACCTGTGATCCCAGCACTCAGGAGGCTGAGGCGGGAGGATTGCCTCGAGTTCTCAGCCAGCCTGGGTTACACAGCGAGCTCCTGTCTCGAAAAACCAGCTTTCCCAAAGCAACAGATTCAGTGATTCAGTGCAGCGCCTGTCCTGGATGGAAGAAAGCTGAACGCTAACGCAGAGGGGGTGAAGGGTGCTTGGGGTGGAAACTGGGGTGTGACTAGAGAACGGTTTTTCTAAGTTTGAAATTCTTCAAAATAAAAATTTTGGGGGAAAAAGCACGTTTTTAGTTACTCTGAAAAGTTTTATTTTAAAGTGACACAAAGCAAAAGTCTTTCCATCGGAGGAAATTCAAGACATTTAGAGAGCTGGATGTCTCTGGAAAACAACCCTAAATCACTGTGGCTTTATCACAGCAACTTGTTGTTACTTTTTGAAAAGAGGAGTCCTCAAGGCACTTATCGGCTTCATAATCCAAGCGTTGCCACACTTAACACAACGATGCAGGACATCCAGCAGGCCCTGCGCGCTTCCAAGGCACACAGCCGCAGCTGCGCGGCTCTCAGCAGTCCAAGGGCTGCTCACGCTGCAGGCAGCAGATCAGGTTGCCGCGGTCTGCAGCGCCAGCCGTGATCCGAGCTGTACGCCTGACGGACTGGCAGACCTGTGAGGCTAGGCTGGTTCCGCCGAAGCCGCAGACGTCCAAGGCCTGCTGCCTGGATCCTCGGGCCGTCCCAGCCGGATGGGCCTTCTGCTCCTCAAAGCCACTCGGCCTGGGCTTCCAAGGGCAGCCGCTCAGCCCACACTTCCGCCCCTCCCAGGGAAGATGGGCCCTGCCCTGCGGGCTCTGTCTCCCTAACTCAGGACAGAGCTGAGGCCTGGCGGGGCGAGGATGCTGCCTTGGCACCTACGTCTGCCCTGCGTGCCCTGACTGGGCAGGTGGCAGGCCTGCCATCCTCCTCTGTGGCTCTGGACTCCTGGTCTCCCAGCGCATAGTAGGTGCACAGCGCTCACAAGGATGTGACATCCCGCTTAATCCTCCTCAGGGAGGTCCAGTGACCCCACTTCTCACAGATGGGGAAACTGAGGCTCCCAGGTCTTACATGGCTACCATGCGTTGGAAACGGGCTCCCTTCATCCTGACCTTGCTGCCTCTTTGAGGCCCAGGGTGAGAGCTGTGGAGCTGACAGGCTTGAGTCGTTAGAATAGCACCTTCTCTGTCAGCAGCAGCGGATCTGCGGGTGCAGCTGCGTAGACACGGGCAGCAGTGTAAGCGTCTGAGTGAAATGTTTTAAAAAAATTCCACTCCCGCGGAGCCTGGTAATTAACGTGGCGGAGTCCTGGGCTCATTCTGGGGCCCCGAGAAGCTATGCCCACTGAGGTCGGAGGGGACCCTGGCCGTGTGGACAGGGCGGGAACGACGTGGAAGCCACTGGAGACTGCAGCCCCAGGGAGTGAGCCGGACCCCAATCCCCGGCCTGGCAGCTTCTGCCGGGACTCAGAGCCCAGCACTCTGCCGCGTTAATCACCGGCCTGACAGTGGCTGAGCCCGCACCAGCGGGACCCTCGGGGACCGAATGAAGCAGGGGCGCGGGGCCCAGAGAGCCGAGGCGGCCCCGGCCTCAGCCCTGCCCGCCCGACCCTCCTCTGCCTTCGAGGGACCCTGCTCCGGCTCCGTGCCTCCCGCCTCTTCCATAGGTGGCACTGGGCGCCATCCGACGGGCCCACCGGTCTGTGCTCCGCCCCTGCACAGCACTCGGCTCCGCCCCGGCGCCTCCGCCTCCGGGGGCCCGCACCGTGACGCACCGCCCTGCCGCAGCTGCGGCCTCGGGCCCCAAGCAGCGCCCAGACCAGAGTCACCCGGCGCCAGGAGCTGCCCCAGGGTCCTGCTGCGCCCCCACTGCGGAGGGCGGAGGATTCATCCTCCGGGCCGGGCTGCCCCCACCCAGGAGGAGCCGAGCAGGCGGGGGGGGGGGGGGCAGGGGGGCGAGGGGCCGCGGAACTGGGCCATGACGCTGCGGAGAGAAAACTGTACGCAGTGGTCTTTTTCCGCAGCACTTCGGGCGGGCAGACTTGGCGAAGAGAACTAGGCACCCACTCCCCCTCTCTGCTTAGGGTCCGCCAAGCCCTGCAGCGCTCCCACCACGGCCTCCTTATAGGGGCCCGGCCAGCCAGTCACTGAACCCTTTAAAAACCATGACCCAAATAAACCTTTCCGGTGGTTGCTGCGTATTTTGTCCCAGTGACAAGAAAGTAACCCAGGCATGATTTGCAGAGGATGCTTGGCAGATCACCGCGGTAAAGACACGCGAATGGGCGCTTCCAGAACTGCTTCAGGGTGGCAAGAACGATGGGATGAGGGCGTGTGAGGCGACACGGGGTACTCTAGGGGTTCACAGCGAGTGCCTCTTGCTGTAGGCTTGTTACACGCACACCTAGGCCTCCACTGGCCCCGCGTGGGCCCGGCTCCGCACACCGGGTCACTCCTGCCTGCTCCACTGGGTCTGTTCCAGCCAGGCTGCGAAGCACTCACAACACTCACCAGGAGTGCCTGCGACAAACTGAAACCCTGCGAGCAGGCACAAGGCTGCCTGGAGCAGCTCTGTTTACAACCGCCAGATCTCGGGGAACCAGGCCCTGCAGCAGGCCAGGGGTCCCGGGCCACGGCGCAGCAGCCCGGCGGTCACTGTGTCCTTCCCAGGAGGACGCGGGCTCGCCCACCGGGCGGCCAGGGGAAAGGGCGTCCGAACAGGCTGCGTACAGTGCGAGCCCAAGCCCAGCCTGCTGGAAAACGAAGACGCAGAAGCGTGAACGTCCACGCCGAGGGAGGAGTGGACGGACAGGAGGGTGCAGGCTCTTTAGGGCAGCGAAGCTGTTCCGTGCTGTAGAGGTGGGCACAGGTCACGGACCCTCGTCAGACCGCCGGACAGCGTGAACCCGGGGCCCCGGAGGTGACTCTGTTCCACAGCACACAGCCCAGCCTGCTGCAGGACGTCGCTAGCAGGCGAGGCGGCCAGGCGGGGTCCTGGGGACGGTGCTTTCTCTCAGCTGCGCTGTGGACGAAGGCTGCGCTACACCCTGAAGCCGACTTAAAACGATGGGCTCAGTGACGCACAAAAATGCAATCGTGCTGGGCTGTGGTGTCGGCGTCAGGTCCCAGTGCCCTCCAGCTTCCCTCTCCCGAAGGCTCCGTGGCAGCCGGTTACCATTCCCGGCGAGAGGCCGAGAACTGGACCTCTCCGGGCCGTCCGCGCCGTCCGCGCATGCGCGCCCCAGGCCTTCCCGTCCAGGTCCCGCCTCTCCGGCAGTGCGCAGGCGCAGGGCTAGAGCGCGCGGCAATGACATCACTACGCGCCAGAGTCCGCTACGAGAGGTGTCGCACAGTGACGGCGTCGCCATGGAGCCGAGGGCGGGTGAGGGGCGCGGGGGCGCAAGGGGAGGGGCGGGTCAGGGTGCGGGGAGCCCGGGACTGTGGGTCTCGCGCTCAGAGGCCTTGCAGACGCCCAACCGGCGTCCAGGGAAGATCCTGGAAAGAAAGAGGCCGGGCGTGGAGGCGCACGCCTCTGGTCCTAGCACTCAGGAGGCTGAGGCAGGAGGGTCTCGGGTTGGAGCCTGACCTGGGCAGCTCAGTTGGACCCTGTCTCAAAACAAGACAGAAACCCTTGAAGATGACCGCGCAGGTCCCTCTGCCCACGCGGTGAGGCTGAGGGCCATGCCTGTGTGCAGCCACCCCACCCCAGGAGACCGGGACGTGAGGTTGGAAACCAGCTTACCTGAAAGTGGTGCTTGGCCACAGGTCTACTCCCAGGTCACAGCCTGGACTCCACGGAGGCTTCCAGAGCCCCGGGCCCGTGGGTCACCGCTGTGAGAGGAGCCCTGTGCAGAATCGCCCGTGTGCACGCAGTCGGGCAGTGGCAGGGCAGGCGCCTCTGGGCTGGAGCCGCAGGACAAGGCCACTGGGCTGCCTGGCTGGGCCGAGCCTGCTGGGGCGTGAACAGGAAGTCACAGGACGGGCGCGGCTTTGCACACATGATGCATTGCCCACGTTCTCAGAGCTTGCCAAGGCCACACACCTGCCCTGTCCTTTGTGCCTCACCTTCCCCCACCCCACTGTGAGCGCCGGGCCTCATGGGGCCATCGGCTGCAGAGCAGGACCCCGTCCCTGTCCTGTGCCTGCAGCACCAGCACAATGTGGGGGATCCTGGTCCTTCCCCTTGCTGATGCACGTGAGATGGGGACTTGCAGTGACCGTCCAGTGTCAGCGCCGTGGGGCAGATCCAGGTGGGGATGTCCCCAGGTCCCTCCGGGGTGAGCATCTGTCAGCATGAGAGGCAGAGTAGGTGCAGGCCGCCCCCTGCCCGCAGCCTGAGCTCGGGGTCCGGGGCCTGGATCTGTTCTGTTGCCACCCTGACCTGTGACGCAGAGCGTGGCAGTGTCTGGCGCTTGCTCCCCAGGAAGCCTTCCTGTTCTGCCCATGAGTCACAGTGCTTTGTGCCACAGGCGTCTCCAAGCAGGACATCCGGGAACAAATCTGGAGCTACATGGAGGCTCACGACGTGGCCAACTTCCCCCGACCTGTTCACCACAGGATCCCCAACTTCAAGGTACAGAGCCTCGGGAATGAGGAGCCGATCCTGCGTGGGTGACACTGGGCACTGAGGTCAGGGGCAGTATTTGAGACCTGCCGGGCTCTCTGTCGAACATCCTCCCCTGCCTCTGCTGTCGTGTGCCGGGCTGGCTGGCTGGCTGAGCTCTGCTGGATACAAAGTACAGGGTTTTCTTGTTTGGTTGCAGTTCTGGGGATTGAATCCAGGGCTTTTGCACTGAGCTGCATCCCCCGCCCCTTTCTACTTTTTATTTTGAGATAGTCTCACCAAGTCACTGAGTTGACTGAGTTGAGCTTGAACCTGGGATCCTCCTACCTCAGCCTCCTAATGCCAGCTGGAAGCATGTTGCTGCCATGACACCATCCACAGAACTGCCCTCCCTGTGGACAGCAGAGCCTGCTGTTCAAAACCCAAGATCCCCGTTCATGATAGTTTTCATGGAAAAATGTTTGCTTGGAAGAAGCAACATAGTAGCATGTGATCTTTGGCTGTGTATTTTCCAAGAAAAAGGAAATGCTTTTGGAAACATGATTGTTGTGCCAGGCCTGAAGGACCCGGCCTGGGGCTCACCAGCACCCCCAGGCCAGACTCTGTCTCCACGTGGGGCCCTCACTGGTCCCTAGCTGAGCGCTTCTGCCCCCCTCCAAAGCTGTTCTTTTGTGTGGTTTTTGTCAATACTGTGCTATTTTAGCACTTGTTACCTGAGGGAGAGAAAAGCATGTGAAGGACGAGGAAGACGGAGGACACAGGGTCATTTAAAATTTTTAAAATGAATCACCTGAGCCAGAGGTGGTGGCACACGCCTGTGAGCCCAGCACTCAGGAGGCTGAGGCAGGAGGATCACCAGAAGTACAGGGCCAGCCTGACTTACATAGCAAGACCCTGTCTCAAAAAACCGAAAACAAGCAAATGAATAAATAAATAAACAGAGTCAGCTAGCGGGGAGCTGGGTGGGGCCTGCTGTTTCCTGGTCCAGGTGGTGGGTGTGGGTCTTTGCTCAGTGAACGCTCTGAGCTCTGTGCTCCTGCTGTGCCCTCAGCCTGAAGCCTGAGCCTTATTTCTGTGAAGACCGGGTCACCAGCTGCGTCCCTTCCCACATTGCCCCTCTTGTCCCCACAGTGGGCGGAGCTCCTTCGGCCAGTCTGGGTGATGCTGCTGGGCCAAGACAGCAGTGTAGCTCCAGGGCATGTGGCTCCGAGGGCCCTATGATTTGCCATCAACCCACATATCCGAAACAGGAAGTTAAAGTGATGAACATATAGAGAAAAACAGATAATTTTATACAGGTATTTAGTAAATAAAAAATATACAATATCGCTTCTCGGCCTCTTGGCTAAGATCAAGTGTAAAAATATACAATAAAAAATGTACAATGTGACTTAAAGTAGAAAATTTAAATGACCTATAGAGAAACCCATAGATTCATTCATTATATTAAATATAGTTTCCTCATCACCTTACAGCTAGAAAGTTTTAAGTGCTGTCCGTGCCCCATGACTACTCACTCACGAAGGTTACACTCAGATGGTACTGAGTGGCTGCAGTGGAGACCGTGTGGAAACAGTACAGCTCGTGGGCAAGCAATCACAAGGTGGAAACGCTGTTGCATTCAGATGCACACAAACCTTAGCTTAACAACAAACAGTTCAAAAGAACCATAAGGCATTATGATTTCCGATGGTCCATGAGAAACCATGAATACAGGTATCTGATATGAGTAAACACCAATCACCATATTAGTAACAATATTTTTAAAAGAATCTTTCAAAACATGACAAATGCTGTAAAGAGTACATTCAGTAAGAAATGAGATACAGTGAACCCTGGAGTTACAAGGGCTGATGTATGAACAACTTGGGTTACGACCAGAAATTTAGTTTTAACTAACGGTCAAAGTCTTGAGTTACGACCTGAACACCGGCCAGCCCTTGCATGCGCTTCCAGATGGTCTCAGATTCCGATTTAACCCTTAAAGAGTTCCGGAAGGAACATGATAGCATCCTCTCCTGTGTGGGGTTAACTGGGAAACCCTGGGCCAGTGTCTCTCTGAGGACACTGGGATCTGCCTGGAAGAAAGTGTTCCCTAACATTCATTATATGGGAGAGGGACTCTGAGGGCAACTGACCAACTTGAGTTACAACCAGCCCTTGGAGCGAATTGAGTTCCTAAGTCAAGGGTTCACTATAACGTTTTAAGAGTGTAATAAACTCTACACATGGGCTGGGGATTTAGCTCAGTGGTTCCGGCGCCTGCCTCGCAAGCGTAAGGTCCCGAGTTCGATCCCCGGTACCCCCCCAAAAATAATAAACTGCACATGTAATGTTTGTATTTCCATGTACTCAAATTTTAGCCGTATTAAAATGCAGTAAATTGTCACAATATAATTTTGCTTTTGGCCAACAATGCTCGCAAAAGATGCGCTGCCCGGGTGCTGCCCCGGGCTGCCGCCTCTACCCCGCCCCACGCCGCTGGCGGGAGGCCACACCCTCTGGGTGACGGAGGTCCATTGCCCTTGTTTTGGCTCAGGGGGCGTCCAGGGCAGCGGAGCACCTCCCTCGCCTGCAGGAGTTCAGAGTGGCGGGAACCGTCAAAGTCAACCCCGACGCTCCCCAGAGCAAGGCCCGCTTCCTGGTGCTCCAGGTAAGCTTTGTTCCGTCCGCTGTCTCCCTACTAGGGGTCTCACCTGGCTTCCCAGAACATCCGGGGCCTGGACGTTTTTGCCAGAGCGCAGGAAGTGAAGGTGGACCCGGACAAACCACTGGAAGGCGTGCGGCTGATGGCTTTGCAGGTAACCCCACCTGCCCGAACTTGACCCGCTGGCAGGACAGGTGCTCTCGGGGTCTCTGTCATGGGTCACCTTCAGCACCTCTTGCCTCTTGTCCCAGTCCCCAAGTTTCCCAGCTACAGGGTGCTCACAGCCAGGGGCGCAGCTGCCGGGGGTCGGGGGTGGTGGTGGTTTAGAGAGAGATCAGCAGGCTTGTTTTTCTTGCTACATTGGTAAGAATTCTTTGAGACATGTTAACTTTGTAATGTAATTCTTTGAAACACGTTAACTTTGCAGTAGAATTTTTTGAAATATGTTAACTCTGTAGTAGACTCCTTTGAGACATGTTAACTCATCAGTAAGAAATTTAGTAAATGTGGTGGCGCTGACCTGTAATCCTGGCACTCAGAAGGCTGAGGCAGGAGGATCAGTGAGTTCAAGGCCAGCTTGGGCTACATAGTGATTCCAAGGCCAGTCTGAACTACATAGTGAGACCCTGTCTCGAAAAAAAAAAATCTGGTAAATGTGTCCCCAATATTAAATGACAACATTGATTTTCAGCTTAAATATGTGGGCCCCTTTTTAAGGAAAAGAAAAAAAGAACTCTCCCTGGGTTGATGTAAATGAATGTGTTAATAGTTTTAATTTGTACAAACATAAAACTCGGTATAAATTATAATGCTCGTAGCTCTTAAGCAACTATAAAAACAAAGCACATAAGTTAAACGCAGACAAAGCTATAAAAGCTGTAGCGTTCGAAGGACCCCGTTAATGTAATATAATGGTTGCTGTTGTTTTGATGAAGCGGGTCTGTCTTCGCACTGAGCTCCATCCCCAGCCCTTTATTTTTTTATTTTGAGAGTCTCGTCAGGTTGAGCCCAAATTCGCAATCCTTCTGCCTCAGCTTCCCGGAGTGCTGGGATGACTGGTGTGCACCACGGCACCTGCAAGCACAGCAGAATTTGGGGCTCCACACTGGGCTCAGTCAGGTCTTGGAACAGGCGGGCTGAGGGCCCCGCTGCCCAAGCATGCGGCCCCCAGGAGCCTCCTGTGGCCGGGCCGGGGCGGCGCCTGCACCGAGGTCATCTCGGAGCCACCTGGTGCTGATGCGCCCGGAGGAGCCCCGAGAGCGCGGCCCCTGTGTGGCCCGGCGCGGTGGGGCTGAGGAGCAAGCGAGCCTCCGGCGGGCTGGCGGGCGGGCTGCGCAGTGAGGCAACTTCGCGTCGCTGCGCGGCTTCGCCTCCAGAGGGCGCCACGCGCAGCGGCGACTTGCGCCGGGATTCCCGGACTCTGCAGGGCAGGCAGAACCCCGTGAGCGGCCCCTGCAGCTCCTCCTTCCCTGCCGGAAGGCAAACAGCAGACAGTGCCGTGTAAATTTCAGTTTTGTAACTTTTTGCTTGTCTTTTTCTTGAAAGAGCCAAAAAACACTGCTGGTTCCGACGCCGCGACTGAAAAGGGGGCTGTTCAACAGGATCACGCCACCCCCCGGGGCGACGGCAGCCGCGCTGCGCAGGTGCGCCACCTCCCAGGTGCGTCCCCACCGCGCAGCTGCGCAGCACCGTGGGTCAGTGCGACGTCACCGTGCATCTGTGTGACGTCACCGAGCAGGGGCAGAGCCAAGAGCGCAGGAAAGGGTGGAGTATTCAGAAATCCTCCCTTGAGGGCGCCGAGTACATAACCATGAATAATGGATTAGGGTTAGGGTCAGTCTAGTGTCTAGAGACTGAATGATTTATTATTCATTGACATCCTGTCTTGTTGAAAAAATAGTATGTACTGTGGCTTAAAATATATGCAGTAAGTTGTGTGTGTGTGTGAATGAAGTAGCAAAGGGAAAGGCAGGGAAATCGCCTCACAGCTTCCGAGGGCTGCTGCAGCCCCAGCCTGACCGCACATCCTGACCCCACATGTGGCCGCACGGACCTGTGGATGAGGGTTTCGCAGCCAGGCCCAGGGCTGGGCCTGCCGTGTGGCCCTGGCAGGATGGTGATGCGGACTGTTACGGAGTCCGTGTCCCGTGAGTGTGCCATTGCTCCCTTTGCCCGCTTCCCGGGAAAGAGACTGGGGGAGACGTACCTCACAATGGCTTCTGCACCTGCTGGGAACCTGACAGAGTCCCACCCACCCCCACCCCACCCCGAGCCCTGCAACCTCGGATCCCGCTCTGGTGTGGTGGGGCGGGGTTCGAGCCGCTGCCCTGGTCTCTGGCCAGGAGACAAGGCCCCGCCCCGCCCGTCTCCCTTTCCAGGGTGTGAGGAACTTCAGCGTCCCCGTGGGCTTGGACTCCAGTGTCCACGTGGACTTGGTGGTGGTGGGATCCGTGGCTGTTTCCGAGAAAGGTAAGATGGGGCAGGGCTCCGCTGCCTGCATGCCCTCGGGGCTGGCAGTCACTCACCCGCCCGCCCTCAGGACACACCTGCTGTCCTCCCCTCTGCAGTCAGCCCTGCTGGGTTTCCAGGCTCAGCTGGAGGAGCAGGAGATTCATTGCACCGGGCTCGGGCTCGGGGTGGGGTGGGGGTGGGTGGGACTCTGTCAGGTTCCCAGCAGGGACTGAACTTCAGTGGTCCTAAGGGGCGGGTGTGAGGCCTGGGCAAAGGGAAAGTGCTAGGTTCTGAGCCCCGCTTTCACCGTGTCCCCCTTATAGCAGGGGCACCCCTTGAGCCTTTCGGCAGGCAAGGACAGGCTGCTTGGTTTGCAGAGCAGCGGGGCCCCGCCTGCCCCCCGCGTACCCACATTACTTGCTCTCCATCCCAGCTGTACCCCCGTTCACAGTGTGCCCGGACCCAGCTGCTCTCTCTGAGGCATCGGGACTGGCACCCCGGATGTTCCTCTCTTTCCCATGTGCCTACTGTGTGCCTCTGCCAGCTGGGCAGCACGGGTACCGGAAACCAGTAGGACGGGGCCAGGGACCCTCAGCCTCCAGCAGGTGTGCCCTCCCAGGTGGCCTCAAACCCACTGTGGCCTGCAGATGCCGTGGACACTGGGAGCAGACGCGGGGCCCAGGTGGAGGAGGCCTGGCCTTGGGGTGTGGCAGGACTTGCAGCAGAGCCCCCGAGAGGCCCTAGGAGCTTCCTCTCCAGCTCAGAGACATGTGAAGCAGAGCAGTGTTGCAACTCGGCCTCCCAGTCACCACAGCTTACAGTGACAGCATGGCCATGTGTGGGGCAGGCAGCGGAACAGCTCAGAAAGCTCCCCCTGTGCCTGTTCCTGTGGGCCACTGCGGCGTCCCCAGTGGGGACCCAGATGCACCAGCACTGTGCACTGGAGTGGACTCTGTCCCGCCCTTCCCGCTTTCCCTGGAGCAGTGAGGGTGCATGCTCTGCACTCAGCCCAGGTCCCGAGCCTCGTGTGGGGGCAGCTGGATGAGGTGAAGCCCGGGTGCTGCGCAGTCTTGGCAGCCCTTCCAGGCGGGAAGCTGCTGGGCTCAGCCTGGACAGTGGGCCTGATCGCCCATGGAGAGGCTGCATACGTCTGCTGCCTCCTCCCCAGCTCCCCTGTCCCCGCTCCCAGCGGGATTATCAAGCACTGATCATCACAGTCTGAAGTGGGCCACGGTCCCTCGTTTGCCCTGTGATTCCCATTTAGTGACGAGTGGCCGAGCACTCTGCCTGCCCACTGCCACCTGCTGTCCTTGTGTGTCCTCCACCTGTCATCTCCCCGTCATCTACTGCTTCCCCTCCCTGTCTCCCTGCACGCATGGCTGGGGCTTTTACCGCGGCAGCACCTGCTCTGTGGGCTCTGTCTGAGAGGCCTGGGCAGCAGTGCTGTCCCCAGGGAGGGTCCTGCTGATGGCCAGGGCCTGGACCCCCCCGAAGTCCCCATAGGAAGTGCATGAGCGCTAGGGAGGCGCAGGCAGCCCTGCTGCACTCCTGTGCCCTGGGCCTCCGGCTGCAGAGGACCCAAAGCCTGGGCGGCCCCAGCCTGTCCTCAGTGTCCGGCGGTGTACGCTGGTCCTGCTCAAGCCCCTGGCCCTGGCTGCTGCCTGCAGGGCTGGCAGGCTGTGTCACCGCGAGTGGCCCAGCTGGCCTCAGAGCTTTTAGTTCTCTGAGGTAGACGGATCAAAACTGCTTTGCTTCTGCAGAAATGTGCTGTCTCTCAACAGTCTCTCCTCACACTGAGCTTAAGTGAGGCTCGCTGACTAAGAGCCAGCCCAGCGAACTTAGTTTTCCTGGCAGCTAAAAAGGTCCCAAGTTGCTTTTCAGCCTGAATGTCCGTTTCTGCTGGCTGCTTCTGGGGTTGCTGTGGAAACCAGCGGCTGGGACCGTGGGTTCAGGTCCCTCCTGAGGTGGGCTGGTGAGAGCCCACACCCAAGGGGCCCAGGCCACTCACAGACCCCGCCCCTCGTCCTGTTCCTCAGGCTGGAGGATCGGGAAGGGAGAAGGTTACGCAGACCTCGAGTATGCCATGATGGTGTCCATGGGAGCCGTCTGCGAGGGGACACCCGTGGTCACCACCGTCCACGACTGCCAGGTGCGTCCTGAGCCACCCGAATGCACAGGGTGGAAGGCAAGTCCTGGGCAGCTCCGAGAGGTCCCGAGCCGTGCCATTCCCCCAGCTCCTCCTCCCTTCTTCCCGGTCAGGTCCTGGACTTCCCGGAAGCACTCCTGGAGGACCACGACCTCACAGTAGACTACATCCTCACTCCAACCAGGGTCATCGCCACCGGCTGCGAGCGCCCAAAGCCAGTGGGCATCACGTGGTCCAAGGTGGGTGGCTGCCAAGCCAGCCCTGGAGCCCCATCGCCACCCCTTTTACCATGGGCCCTGCGAGGCTTGGCTGCTGCCTCCCACCCAGCCTGGCCCAGTGCTGGAATCCCCAGCAGAGATTTGGGACAAGGTAGCATCCGCTCACATCACTGGCTGAGTCCCTGCCTGCAGATTTGGATGCTGATAACAGCAGGCCCAGGTCTGCCCCGTGATGGCAGAGGTAACTCATGGCAGAAGTGGCAGGAATGACCCGGAGGGCGGTGTCCTGGCCTCTGTTTGGCAGCTGCTTTTCATCCTTTAGTGCTGCCCCCCATCCCCCTGCAGTGCAGTCTGCTAGCTGTGCTGCAGCCCTTCCTCAGTAATTACTGGGCATCCCATCGTACATTCAGATCAGCAAGCAGGTGCGGTGAGGTGGGAACAGAGCCCTGGCCCTGGTCTCACACACATGGCAGTCAGTCTGCAGTAGGGGTTTGTCCCCAGAAGCCAGTCGGCAGCCCACAATGCTGTGTCTGGTGGTAAACAACCAGAGCCACTGAGGAAACAAGGAGAAGCTATGCTCCATGGGGACCGAGTGCAATTGCCAGATTCTCCTTTAAACCCAAATCGCCCAGAGTTTGGACCCATAGAAAATCAGCATCCGCCTCCACGGATGAACAGGAGCTGAAGTACCTGGCACTCAGCCGGCGGGCAGTGCCTTTGCCTGTAATGCCAGGGGTGGACAGTGTCAGTGCCTAGTCCTTCTTGGGCAGTGAGTAAGAGCAGATGGCAACAGTTTATGCAACCCGGAAGCAGATTGCCAGGCCTCTCCAAGGGCATCAGAAGTACCAGGGAGAAGGTGCCACGTCCTCCTGAAAATCAAGATGGCCTTTAGTGTCTTTCCAAAGAGCTTGGGGCCCCTCAGAATTTGGGCACAGCTTCCCTGGGGATGGAGGCTGTCGGCCCCACCCCCAGCAATGAGGCCAGGTCTCCCTGTCCCTGGGGCAGGGGCTCAGGGGCTGCCTACGGCTCAGCCCTCAGCAGGACTACAAGGAGAGCACTGGGGGGGGGGGGGGTTCCCACTGCTCACATCTGCAGTTCTTCAGAGGCGCCGCGCTTGATGTCATTGAGCCTGTCAGACCAGTGCACTGTCGTTTATATCTGGAGGCCCCCAAAGGCAGGGCTTGTGGGGGGTGTGGACTACGGGGTGGCACAGCTGGCTTGCTGTTGGGAGGTGGGGCCTGGCCAGAAGAGGCGGTCACTGGGGCTTGGCCTGGAAGGCTCCGGCTCCCTCCCCAGTTCCTCCCTTCCCTCTGCTTCCTGGCCACCGTGAAGTGAGCAGTTTCTTCCACCAGACCTTCCTGCCTTGGGGTCTGTCTGCCATGGACTGAAAACGTGAGCCAAAGTAGACCTTTCCGTCCAGTTGTGGGTATCGGGTATTTTGTCCCAGCTGCCGGAAAGTGACTAAGACAGTGTGACACCCTTACCTTTGGGCAGAACTAGGCCCAGCAGGCCTCCCCAGGGCACCCAGTACCAGAGCCCCACTTCACCCCATCCAGGAGACATCAGACGAGAACCCCATGCCTGTGACTGGGGGTCCCTGCACTCAGCTTCGTCACCAACTAGTAATCCTTTGTGTGGACCCTGTCCACTCTTGGTCACTTTTTTTCTGTCACTGCGACGCAGTACCTGATGCCCACAGCTGAAAGGTGGGGAGGGCTGTCTATCAGGGTGGGCGGGGCAGGCGGAGGAGTGCCACCCCCAGCCCCCAGCCCCCCAGCGCAGGCGGGAGGGAGAAGCTGCAGAGTGGCTTGCGCTCCCCAGCCCCACCCCGCGAGGGCCCTCGGGCAGGCCCCACCTCCTGCAGCAGTCACGTGGGGGGGGGGCGCCCCACGGTGCCTTCCGGAAGCCCTGCTTGTGATCCGGGAGACTTGGGGAAGCTCCCGTTCAGCCCCTGGCATTCGGCCTTGGTCTTGCTATGCATGCAGCAAAGTGTATTTTCGTGGACGTTTGTTGAGGAAAAATCTTCAAATTCCAGTAAGGGGGCGGGGTGCGGCTGGATGCAGAGTCCTGCTGTCCTTTCTGCTCCCCCGTGGATACACGCGTTCGCCTCCTGTCTCCTCGGTCTGGAGTAGCGCGCCGCTAACGCTGGCTCTCGCAGGGAGGGGTGAGAGGTGAATCAGACACGGTTCCTTTCCTCACTCATCTTAGCTGCGTCTGCCTGGCCTTGCGCCACCTTCCTCCGGGACCCCACTGCCCTCCGTCTCCGGCCTGTGCCACGGGGCTCAGAACGGGACAGCAGGCGGCCGGCGAGCGGGTGGCAGGTGCACCACCAGCACCCCGTCTGCGAAGGACGCCAAGTGCGCCCGAGCTAACTCAGAAACGCCGGCAGTCCTCTTTGTCAAGGGGGGCGGGACAGGGCCGCCCACCAGGGGGCGCCTCGCTAAGGACGCTAAGGAGGCGGGGCGGGTCAAGGTCCCTCCTCTGCCTTCAAAGAACCGACGGAAGCGAGAGACCCTGCGGCGGGCCTGGGCCTGAGCCTCAGCTTGACCGAGGTCCTGGGAAAAGTGTCTTCACTGAGCTGTTCTCAGTGACTTGTGTACCACTGCGGGGTAGAGGGTCCTCTGGCCTTGCGCGGGGCCCAGTGCGGGCCTGCAGCCCTCCTCCGCCGGGCGCCCTCCACAGGGGCCATGCAGTGCCGAGGGCTCGCTCCCCGGGCGGCAGGCAGGGCTGAGGGGCCTGGCGTTTGTGAAGCTGCACCCCGGACTCCCTGCCCCTTGTCCCCAGCTTGCTCCCCCCACGCCCGTCGGTGCCATGATTTCACCTTGGCCATTTGGAAGCCTCTGGAAGCATTTTCATCAGTGAATAAAGAAAAGACAGCTGACCACCGTTGTGGGGTGGACTGGTGACTGTTTCTGCCAGTGGCTGCCACACTCCCGCTCATCAAGGATGAGAGGGATTTCAAGGTCTTCGCCAAAGTGAGCGCCTGAAGGCAGAGCCTGAGTTGAGGCCGGGCCTCAGGTTGGCAGGGCAAGTGCTGGGCTCAGGATTCTGACCTGGCCTGGCCCGAGCCTGGACCCTGGCATGGGGCTTCTGATCGCTGCTCATAGGGCATGGACTGTGAGCGACCAACATCCTTGTGCTTGAGCGAAGAGGGATTTTAGCAGGTAAACGACAGTCAACTGTGCGTTGTGATCTTTTTTGGAGAATGGAATGATTACTCAAGGAGGTGAAAAGGTTGTTTTCTGTTTGATGAACAAGCAGGACCTTTCATTCCACATGGCAGGTTGACAGCACGTAATAACTGTTCCCAACTGCAAGCCAGGAAACTCCGAGCCGCGCCGTGCAGGGCAGTGGTCTGGCTGCCTGGCTGGCGCTGAGAAGGCGCCGTCCACTCTGGCCCCAAGATCCCCAACCCTGCCGCAGACAGAGGTGGGGAAGGCGGGGGAGCAGCCCGGAGCACTGTGCTCTAGGAAGGAGCCAACTGACCGGGTTTCCCCTTTGAGCCCCACCCAGGTGGCGCCCGGCTGCTGAGTTCCCCTGGCTCCAGGGTGTAGGGCCAGTGTTGGGCACTGCAGGGCACATTTGCCCCTCATGCTGCAGTCGAAGGTGGATTTCTGGGCAGATGCCGAGGCGGGAGCTGTGCCTGGGGAGGACACTGGCCTCTGCCAGGGGCAGCCTGACAGGCCAGGGACAAGCGGAGGGAGCTCAGGCCCTCACTGGAAGCGCCATGTTTGCGGGACGGAGGGGCCCGAGCCGGCCACTTCCTGTCACCCAGATGACACATTGCCCCTGCTTGCATTTATACCTGCAGTCTTGGATCTGATCGTCCTTTCTAAACACAGGATCCCGAGACTTGGAGAGTCAAGCTGTTCCTGTAAATCTGGTGTAGAGCACCCCAGAAGAGCCTGGGTGTGGCACTTAGGAGGAGGTGGCCGGGACGTGAGCCAGAGGTGGGCTCCCAGCGCCTGTCTCCTGGGATCCGCTCACGAGAATGCACAGGGGCCATGGGGCCGCTTTGCATGATTGGGGTGTGGCTGCGCTGTGCCATGGCCTGGTGTGGCTCGTTTCCTCTGTGACTCAGGCCTGCCCATGGGCACATGGGTTCTGCCGTGCAGAAGTCCCCAGGGTGCCTGCCAGGATCATCCTGCTCGGTGGTGCCCTCGAAGCCCCTTGGGGTTCACAGCCAGCGATGCTCGATGCTCAAGCGGGTTGGGCCTCGGCTGGATCTCGAAGGCAGGAGCCTGATCCCCTTCTGCCTCCCCGGTGCCAGTTCCCAGGAGACACTCAGAGGTTGGTTGTCCTAGTCCAGAGAAAGCCAAGAGGCCCCTGTGTAGCAGCGCTCTACAGCCGGGCGAGGTACCGATGACGATGCATGCCTGTAATCTCAGCTGCTTGGGAGGCTGAGGCAGGATTGCAAGTTCAAGGTCAGCCTGGGCAGTTTAGGAAAATCTTCTCTTAAATAAATAAGGGCTGAGGCTGTGGCTCAGTGGCAGAGCACATGTGTGAGGTTCTAGGTCCAATACTCAGCACTGAGAAAAAGAAAGAAAAGGAAAAAGGTCCCGTAGGTTGGCCCTCGGCTCCCGTGTGGCGTTTGTTTCCTGGCTGGAGCAGCCACCGCAAGGAGTGTTTGGCAGAGGCAGCGCTGGACTCAGGTGGCCTCTCCTGTGTCTTCGGCCAGGGTGTGACCCCGAGATGGGGGGGAACCTGTGGCCCAGGAAAGGCCTCTTCCCCCCTGCACAAGGAGGGACAGGTGTGGGGCAGAAGCCTTGCTGTCCCCGGGGACGCCAGGGACCAGGTGTCCCCTCTGGGCAGAGGCCCCCACCCCGCAGGACACACTGGTCCCAGGCACCTGGTCCGCCATGCAGCGGGGTGGCAGGCACAGTCCTTAGGCCCCGGGACGCCTGAGAACAGCGGCTCTGCTTTCCTCTTTCAGATCAGCCCTGAGATGCTGGAGAGAATCCCGGTGCTCCGAAGCCTACGAGAGCGAGAGAGGCGGGCTGGGAAGGACGTCAGCCTGTGGGCCGATCTCCCGCACCCGGCACCCCTGTGCACCGTCGTGGGACCCCAGCTCGCACCCCGGCCAGGGTTGAGTGTCCCGGGGGCAGCCTCTGGCAGGATGGGCAGCCCCCAGCAGCGGAGCCACGCTGGACAGACACAGGCCCTCCGCCACCGGCGTCTCTGACAGGACACTGCCGCCCTGTCCATGGCTGTGCACACAGTGAGTGCGGAGCGGCTGCAGGCTCCTCGGTTGGCTGCGCACAACGGCGGCCTCTGTGCCCGGCCCAGCCACACTGTGCAGAAGGGGCCCGCACTCTGTGCCCAGGGCGCAGGCCGGGCGGCAACCTCAGGACGCAGGCGCCCTCTGGCCCGCGCCCCCCAGGCCCTGGCCACCCCCCAGGTGCTCTTCACCCCACTTTCCCGTTTTCCCACAGTGACCGCTGTGCCCGAGGGTGTCCAGGAGTCCTGGGCATTGGATAGCAGAGGCGGACACATGGCCCTCACCCCACATCCCAGCTCCCGTGTCCAGCCTGCCCAAGGCCAGCTCAGCCCTCAGTTGGGAGGCACAGCGCTAGGTGGCCACTCCTGGCGCTGGGGAGCCAGGCTGCTGGGTCCCCTCACTCGGGACCAGGACAATCCAGATTGCTGGGCAGGTAGCCGGAAGCGGTCTGTCACTTTATATCTGTGGGAGGTGGTACCAGAAAACTAGAAATGGCCCCAAACGTGTCCACCCTCAGATCTCCCACTGCCCCTTGCTTCCTTGAGGGGCAGCTCTTGTCCACACCAGGCAGGAGTCCCGGCCACAGATGTGATGGCAGGCTCCCAGGCACTCAGCATCATGAGGCACACTTCACGTGAGGGTGATGTGGGGCATGGGGGAGCTCCCACGGGCACGGGGTCCCATCCTGAGTGGGGAGCAGTGTTGCCACGGGACGACACCACCTGCAGAAGCTGCAGCTGTGGACCCTAGAAGTGTACCTTCAGCTCCATGGGGGAGTGCAGAGTCTGGTCCACTGCCCCCTCCTGAGTGGTGCCGGGTCAGGGTGGCCAGGGGTGCACCTTCCTCCTCATCCTCAGGCCCAGCTGGTCACCTCCACTTGAATTTTCCTATGTGCCAGGGGGTGGCACAGGTCTGTCATCCCAGCACTCTGGGAGGCTGGGGCAGGAGGATCGTGAGTTTGAGCAGCTTCGTGAGACCCTGTCTCAAAATAAAAAAGGTAAAAAAGATTTGGGTTGGAGCTCAGTGCGAAGGCCCCATTCAATTCCCTGTACCCCCAAAACAAAGCTCAGTACCATCCACTGCAGGCACTGCTGCCCTCCCTGGAGTCAGCAGGGCCCAGGGTGAGCTGGGGGCTCCAGACACAGCTGCCCCCCACCCCGCAGCCTGGTCCTGGGGGAGGTGGGGCCTGTGCTTGCTGTGCTCCGGGTCCCCACGACACATAGGCCATCATGGCCATCAGAGAAGGGGCCGTGAGGCTCCTAGAAACTAAAAACATAAAGTAAAAGCCAGTCGCTGGGCTGCAGGTGAACGGTACGGTGAGCGGGGAGATCAGGCGCACGATTCTTCCCAAAACCAGCGCAAGAGAGGTGTGAAGTCTGCGGCGGCCAGGGAGGTCATCAGAACTGCTTCCACTGAGAGAGCTGCACCTCGTGTGGAGAAGGCCGGGGCGACTGGCCCGCCTGAGGCCAGTGCAGCAGCAGTGCCAGGCAGCTGCTGAGCACCACAAGGAAGGGACGCGGCTCTCCGGGGAGCACTGGAGCCCCAAGGGATGCCGTCCGCCACGAAGGGGGACACAAGGGGCTCGCCCTATGTGCTGTGGGCCCAGGCACGAGTGTGAGCAAAGGCTCCGGGACAGCCACACAGCACGGAGCCATCGCAGCTGGCTCATGGCCATGGGACCTCAGCAGCGGGGCGCCTCCCAGCGGGCAGCACAGGGGCCGGAGAGGTCACCCGGGGGGCCTGGCCATGGCAGGGAGGTTGCCAGGACTGAGACCGAGCCTGAGAGCTGCAGCCACACAGAAAAGTGCGTCCCAGGATGACTGAACAAAGAGATGCAGGCTGGCCTTGAATTCACTGTGTGGCCTAGGTTGGTCTCCAACTCAAGGAGATCCTCCTGCCTCAGGCTCCATGCTCTCACACCCAGCTAAGAGACTGCTTCTGAAGCCCTTTCCTAGCCCAGCATTAGAAAACAGCGCCCTGAGTCTGGGGAGAGGCTTGTCCTCTGTCCCCTACACGTGTTGGGTTGTGATGGGTGCAGTGCCGTGAGCCACCGGGCTGGCCTGAGGAGGCTGCTGGAGCGAGATGAGCCATCCACGCACCCCGCTCAGTCAGGGCTGCGGATGCAGTCAGCACCGCCCCGGCCCAGCTCCTTCCAGTGCATCCACACAGCGGGAGTCCGGCCTGGTGCCGCAGCTGATGCCCGGGCATGTCGCAGTTATGCCTGAAAGAGGCAGGGGCCGACAGCACGACCCCTTCATTATGCTAGGGATTGAACCCAGGCCTTTCACAGGGAGCCCCATCCCCAGCTCTTTGTTTTTTGGGACAGGGTCTGGCTAAGTTGCCCAAGCTGGATTCAAACTTGTGCATCCTTCTACCTCAGCCTCCTGCAGTGCTGGGATGATGGGGCACCACCAGGGCCAGCTCAGCCACGTCACCACCAGGACAGCTGTCACCCGAGGGGGGAGCCCACCCTCCGCCCAGGGGCTGGGGCACACAGGCCTGCCTCGCTCTCGCTGCCACTCCATGCTGAGACACGAGGAGAGAGGGCGATCTCCCAGCCAGGAGCAGGCAGAGAGCGGAGTGAGGCCAGCGAGGCCCTCCTCAGATGTTTGCTCAGAAACATTTTCTTCTTAGTGACATAGATCTTTCAAAAAATAAAAACAGAAAACTAAGCTGGGTGTGGAGGTGCATACCCACAATCTCAGCATGCTGGAGGCTGAGGCAGGAGGACGACAAGTTGGAGCCCAGCCTGGGCAGCTTAGTGACTTGGCCAGACCTTGTCTCAAAAATTAAAGAATAGATGAATAAGGCTGGGAAGGCAGCTCAGTGTGAGGGCTCAGGGTTCAGTCCCCAGTACCACAAAAAAAAGGAAAAGAGTCGGGGGAGCAATGGCAGTGAATCCCCGGGAGGAGCCGAGCGGCTTCGGATGGGCAGAAGGTGCAGAGTGCCGGACAGGAAAGGCAGTGAAGAGCAAAGAGGCAGTGGTCGGGGCTGGGGACCCCTGTCCTCCCTCCGAGACTCGGTGACAGATCCCAGCCCTGCAGCCGGCCGTGTCTTGGTACCCGCCTCAGGGTGTTCTGGGCCTGCTGGGCTCTGCTCCTGCCCTTTTGTTCTTTGGGGTTTTTTGGTTTATTTGGTACCAGGGATCGAACTCAGGGCCTTGCGCTTTCGAGGCAGGCGGCGGCGCCACTGAGCTCCATCCTGGGTCTCTGCTCCTGCCCTTTTAGCCAGAGGTGCACACAGGAGGATGCGCTCACTCCCTCTCCTCGCCTGCTCGGCAGCAGGAGTGGCCGCTCCTCCTGAGGTGCCTGGACTGCCTGCTCTGGACCCTGGTTGGCACAGTGACCAAGGGCACTCACAGGGCTCCCTGCCCTGTCTGGGCTCAGCAGGACAACCGCCCAGCAGGGCACCACAGGATGCAGAGAACCTGGGTTCCTGGGTGCTGGTGGGGCTGCGCAGCTGCATCCTGCCCTGGCCGGATGTGAGGGCAGAGGCCAGGGCTGGGTGTTGCCCACTTCGCAGCCGGAGCCCCCCTCCCCTGGCGCCGCAGAGCCAGGCTGGGTCCTGTCCTGTCCTTACAGCTCCCGCTGACTGAGCCATTTCAGACGCCGGTGTTGAGAAACTTGGCCTCTTGTCAGGAGTCTCCCCAGGCTGGCAGAAGCCCACTGTGCCAGTGGGCAGCAGCGTGCCCCAGGGAACTGGTCCCCGCCCACGCTGCCCCATTCAGAGACAGCTGAAGGCTGGCACACACGAGGGCACCACGTGGAAGGAACCCCAGGGAGATGCCAGCCCATGCTGGGACAGCAATGCGTGAGGTTCGTCATTTGACAGCGCTGAGCTGTGGGTCAGTGCTCGGCTCCTCACTGAGACCTAAATTCATTTAGGGTCACAGATAACGGTGGACATTACAGTGCTCATATGTAGTTTACATTTCGATCAGATACTAAGTTATCCACACAGGTATTTATAAAGTGTAATTGAAAAAGGTATGGTAGGGCTGGGGATTGAGCTCAGTGGTTCCAGCGCCTGCCTCGCAAGTGCAAGGTCCCGAGTTTGATCCCCGGTACCAAAAAAAAAAGGTATGGTAAATGTTTAAATAAAAATCCATGGCAGTGGAAGATGCATTGCCATGAATCCTCTCAAAATCCTCCCCCCGATTCACACACACTCATCCATTGTTCTTGCCCCTTTCTGAAGCAGCTCCACATCCCTTTCCTGAGTATCTTTTTGTGTCTGCCTCAGAGTTCTGAATCAGTTCAAAACTTTCACAATTCCCACCAAATAAAAACATGACGCTGTGTCCTCATCCACCTCATTCTCTGTACCTCCACCGTGCAACTCCTGGCTCTTCAAGTCAAAATGACCATTAAAGGAGAACATTTTGAATTGATCCAGCACATTGAGACAGCCAGGACATCGCAACTAAGGACTCTCATGAAAGGGCTTCAGAGCTGCTGCAGAAAGTGGCCAGGACAACTGGAGGGGATTGTGAGGGTGATTTGTGGCGATGTGTCCTTTACTGTAATAAAATGTTTCTGTATTTCAACACTCACTGCAGGCTTTGTCCAGCACCGTGGTCACTTTGAGAGGCCTCTATCTCAGACCTCGAGAGCTGCTGTGGGTGCCCACTGTCCCCCAGTGAGTGGAGCCTGAGGTACTCATGTGCTCTCACTTGGCACGGGTTGTCCCCAGCTGCCACCAAGGTAGAAAGAGGCAAAGCCAGGGCCATTCACTAGAGGAAAAAGGCAGCCGGGCGTGAGGGATCTGCCCGGTCACACAGCAGTGGGGCAGGGACCGGTCTGCGCCTTCGGTGCCGGCAAGGGCGTCTGGCCTCAGCACCTCCCACTTCCGATTGCCACGGGGTCACGGCTCTGCTGCCAGCCCGCCAGGGACAGCGCCCGCAGCCTGCCGTGGTCCTTTCAGCGGCTGGCACTGGGTTGCTTTTGCACATGAGGTCGTGGGGACCGGGGTTTGGGCTGCCCCCCCTTCGCCAGTCCTGGTGGTGGGGTTTTTACCGCACCACCTGGGCAACCTTTCCAACAGTAGAGATGCTCCAAGTGGGAAGCCGTACTCCTGTGCTCACTCCCGGCAGGATTCCCCCTGTGAATGGAAGCCTTTATTGCCGATGTCCATAAATCACCGAGGCTGAGATGGGAGCCGACATGTGACCGTGCCTTGTGGACACTTCGCGCTGTGGAGGCTTGGAAGCGGTAAACTCCGGCCCCGAGGTGCTGAGCTGTGAGCAAACCAAACACCCCTGCCACCCTGGAGTGTGAACTCATGCCCTGAGCTCCAGGGAGAACTGGAAACCAGTCCAGGGAAGGGGGAGGAGCTCCCAAGGGTCCTGCTCCAGAGCTGGCAGAGCCCCAGGCCCTCCCTGGCCCCCAAAACACTGCCCTCCCATCTGCGACCTCAGCAGCCTCGGGGCTCACGGAAGCCATGGTGGACAGAGCATCCTCACAGCCTTGGGCTGGGGCCACACAGTGGGTCCTGGCTGTGTGGCGGGAGGCAAAGTCACCGTCTTAGCTCAGTTCCTCTACACTGAGAGCCCCTCCATCCCCCCTCACGGCACAGAGGGGAGCCCCATCAGGCAGGAAAGCAGTGGAAGCAGGACTTGAACTCGGTCCTCCAGCTGCTGACCCTTGACCGCCTCTCCTGGGGCCGCGGGTCTCAGGGCGATGCCTCCTGGGCCAGTGTGGCCACTCGGTGGGGCTCAGAGAGACCCTGACTCCCATCTTGTCCTGAAGAACTGGATTCTATTTTAAATAAGCCTGATCACTGGAAAAGACCCAAGTAGCTTGGCCCCTCCCCCAAAGCCCGGGACTCTTAGCAGACGCCCAGGGTCTGAAGTCCCAGGGCGGGGGGAGTCAGTCAGTGTTCCTGGTGGGACTATTCCTTGTCCCAGCGCCACCTGCAGCCTTTGGACAGCAGGTGGCGCTGCCTCCCCGCAGACAGCCAGGTGGGCCCCAGCCTGCTAGACGTTCCTGCTTCCTGGACAGGTAAACTGGGGTCCCCTGAGCCTTCTCTCCTCCTTTGCCGTCGCCAACCTTGAGCTCCCACCCTGGGGCGGAAATCACAGCAAAGAGCCCTGGAGGGGAGTGGGACCCGTGTCCTCCTGTCCCCACGGACAGCACCAGGAGCCTTCCCTAGAGGGTGGCTATCCCTGCTTCCTGTCATTCTGCTGAGGGTGCGTGTGAGACCAGGAGGCCCCGCCAAGGTCAGCCAGGGCTGCCTGCCTCGCGGCATCTCCATCTTCCATCTCTGTCTTCCACGTAGCTGTGACAGGGATGCTGCCATGGATGCTGTGGTTGATCAGACGCCCCAGTACCAGCACATCGCCCTCCCCAGACCAGGGCCTGGCCGCTGCACCCCACCCTGTGGCACACACATGGGCATGCACAGGGCAGGACCAGCTGTGCTGGCCCACGGTGCAGGCTGCCCTGGGCAGAGGCGACCACCACAAGCACTGCATAGGCGCCGGGGGGGGGGGAGACACCACCGTCACTGGTCTCACCCAGCACGACGTGGTGGCCCCAGCATCCCCCACGTGGCTGTGTGCTCAGCCCAGGGTGCTCCCTGGGGTGTGGTGCTTAGGAGCTGCAGAAGGAAGGGCTGCCTCAGTGACTGGCACACTGAAGACAGGACTTGCTGCCCCTTCCAGCTCTGGTAGGGGCTTGGGCTAGAGACCCCATGTTACTGCCCCGGCCACTTTCTCGAGCCCCAGGGGACCAGGGGCTGTGCTTTGGTGGTTAGAGACCCCGGCTTTGAGGTCAGAAAGTAGGGGTCTGAGTCCTGATGCTCCTCCTGCTGGTTCTGGTCTAGTCGGAGCAGGCGCTCCCCCTGTCGGGGCTCAGCTTCCTCTGCAGGCTGCCCCTTGAAGAGGGAGACCCGAGACCTCACAAAGGAGACTGCTGCAAGGGGGGACGGGGCCCCCCACGCCTGCCCCAGGCTCCTGTCCCCTCCACCCACAGCTGCTACAGTCACACCTTGGGTGGACAGGAGAGGGCAGCAGAGGCCAGGCAAGCGCCCTCACGGCAGAGGACAGGGCAGACCGCAGGCTGCAGCCCTGCAGATGGGGCCACCTCCGAGTGCCTGCAAGGGGGACCCCGCACCTCTGTCCTGTGCCTCCTCCCTCGGGGTCGGCAGTGTTCTGGGGGCTCTGTGTGAGGTGGGCACAGGGGACCCACTGTTCAAACTCCACCTGCTGAGCCCTGGGTGGGCGTGAGGGTCTCTCCCTGGGAAGGCAGGAAGTCCAGATGCCTGGATTGTGGAAGCTTTTGGGGCGGCCGGCCGGACCAACACAGCACTGCTCAGGGCTCGGGACCCGGTGCGAGGAGTCTGCCAGTCCTTGTCTGGGTGATGACCTAGCAGGGCGCTAGGTGACCTCTCGCTCCCCGGGGGCCTCACTTCCTCATCCACCAGCCCCAGGTCCACGGGGACAGTGTAGTCGGGGACGAGGAAGCCACAGCTCCCGGGTGATGGGGCTTGCTGGAGCCAGGCGGTGGCTGGCAGGGACCCCAGCTCCATCTTTTGGGGCCTCCTCCTGATGGAGACTCCAAGGGGGGGAGCGCCAACCCCTCTGCCCCACCCTCGGCCCCCAGCCTAAAGGAAAGGGACTAACAGGGCAGAGCTGGCCCAGGCACCTTCACACCCCAGACCCGCATGGGGCGCCTTCCAGCTGCTGAGCAGTGTGCCGCAAGCACCAGGCTGGGGGCCGCACCTCTGCCGTGAAAGGCAAGTGGCCGGTGGGCTGGTTTCAGCCAGAGGTTCAGGCCCCCAGCAGGAGCCCAGCTGTGAGGGAGTCTGTAGCCTTGTCACTTCCCTTCTAGGGCTTTCAGGACGGGGAGAGGGGCTCGTGCGCTCTGGGCGGCCCAGGACAGACTCCCGGCTTCCGTGGAGGTCAGATGCTCCGTGCGTGGTAGCAGGGACTTGCTCGCTTGCACGCACAGGTGATACCGGCCCCAGCCTGTACCTTGCATATTGGTGCGCCCCTGCGGAGCCTCACCCCATGGCACCTGGGCAAGCCCAGCCCTGCTCCCTGGAGAGCTGCAGCCAACCGAGAGCGTCTGCCTGCAGCCTCTGCGGCCCAAAATCAAAGGCTGGGTGCTGGCTGTGGAGACAATTTTGCCTTCGGATCCAGCCCTTCCGGGTTGCCTGGAGCCTGAAGGCCGGACTTTCCCTCTCATCCTCAGGCTGCAGATCAGACCTAGAGACAGAGGCCAGTCTGGTCCCCAGGGACCCTGGCCCTTGCTCCACACAAGCCTCTCCAGGTGCTGCCACCCAGCCAGCGCCCCGGACCCGGGAGAGCAGGAGATGCTGCTGAAATGGAAGCACAGCCCAGAGATGACAGGAAGCTGACAGGAAGCGGGGACCTCAGCCCCGGGACTCTGGCCCAGCGGTGCCCCAGGACATACCCATGGGGATGCACTGAGACCCGTGGGGAGCAGGGGCTGGAGACACAGCCAAAGCCCCGGCAGCTGCCAGAGCCCAGCCCCACTTCCTGGGAGCCTGACGGGGTGCAGGCGCTGCCCTAGCTGGGCACTCTTGCCTTCTGAGCAGGCATGTGCCAGGCACTACGGCCCGCCCGAGAGAGAGTCACAGGCCTTTTCTTGTTCGTTTTATCTCCGTGTTACAGACAGCTGTTAGTTTGGGACATTAATTGCCTGGGCGAGTCTATTGATACTTCTGATGTAACAGAGCACCGGAGAAGATGTCCCCACGTCCAAAATGTCAGATCTGAGAAGAAGCAGATTCGGGGACTGGAGACCCCACAGCGCAGACACTGCGGTGGGTCACACGACAAAGTGACTTATTGTGTTTGTTTTCCTAGGTAGCCGGGCAGGAACAGAGGAGGGCAGTCAGGAGAAGACACAAGCTTATTTGTTTTTCCCCAGAGAGGAAAAAAATATGATGTAGGAGAGAAATATTGCTGGATTGGAAATTTGCCTATAACCTTGCTTTACCCCCAACAGCCCTTTTCTTGCTCAAATTTAACTCAATTTTCATTTGGGAAAACCAAGTATAAGGCACCATCAAACAAAAGAAACCAAAAACAAAACTGTGAACCTGTTTCATGATTTGTAACAGCTAGAATATGGGACCAGCGATGTCTGAAGCTCCAAGTAACATTCTCACTGGCCATGGGAAAGCAAACAATTATGTGTATCTATCGCATCAATACATTTACATATGTAACATATAGAACACACGTATGTGAGACACATACGTACATACATGCATACATGGCCAGCTTGGTTTTCCCCAGCGGAAAGATCAGAGCTTTTCTTCAAACATTTGATTATTTCTTTTTAACAAGAAATGACATTTAGAGGGGCAGAGGGCTCTTCCTAAAACACAGAAGCCAAGAAAAACAATTACCCTTGTCCAGATTTTACTTCAGTGTGAAATGAGGAGCGAAGAGAGAAGGATCAGCCGAAAAAAGAAAAAAAGAAAAGTAAAAGGTATTCCGAATTACCCACATTCTAAGTGTCTAAAAGCCCTGGAGAACTGGAGCCTTTCTGTGGGACCCGGAAAATATTCTGCAACCCCAATCCCAGTACAATGTCCACGCGACTTTATTTCTAGCTGATACACTTCGAAAGGCCATGTACAAATGTTACACATTTTTATTTTTGTTCTTTTTTTAGGAAAAAAGTACACAAAAGGCAAAACATCCTCAAATCGTCATTTTATACAGTGCAGAAGGAAACTGAAAATATGTGTCTCACAAACGCTGCACCCCGACAGCCGAAATACTAAAAAAGGCGGGTAGTCCTTCATATTATATATATATTTATATAAAACATATGGGAATTTGTTTTTACATGGTTTGGTCTTTGTTTCAAATTTACAATGGGTATCTAAAAAAAATTCTACGCGGCAAATATTGCCAACAAGTTACACCATTAATACTGATAAATGGAGGAGCCTGTGCGGGGTTTTGATTATTAGGGAAAGAAAGTAGAATAAATAACAGGAAGAGCCTTGCTAGAATTTTAAAAGTGCCTTAACCTTTCTGCGTCACCGCGATGCCGAGCTCGAGGTCCTGGGCCTCCCGTCCCTGCGCCTCTGGCCGTGTTGGCTTCGTCCTGGGACCAGAAAGTTTACAGTAGAGACTGGGAGAGAGAAAACACCCACGGACGAGGGAAGACTGAAACTCAAAACAGTGAGGGGAGAGGAAGCTGGCAGGGACAGCAGAGGCCTGGACAGCCGCACTTGTGGGCTTCTCGGCTCCTGTTTTCTTCTGAAGAGGAACAGTGGCTTCAGAAATGCAAGTTATTCGCACAGAGATCCACCTGTGTTTGCAGAGGAGGCGTCGGAGACCGGGGGAGAGCACCGGGCCTGGTCCCCTCCCCTCTTGGAAAGAGGGCTGTAAAGGGAGGCTTGCGCTTTCCAAAACATTCTTTCAAAAAAGTTAAAAATAAAAAGATAAATACTCAATCGAAAAATAAAAAGTATTTGATAATGATTGGTCTCGCTCGTTTGCCTTTCCTGTAAAAGCCCCCCCCCTCTGCCACGGCAGCGCCTGGAGGGCTCTCAGCAGAACTCTCGTTTGGAAGTTGCAGGTTGTCCCCGACTGCACTTCTGCAGCCCACGGCCTGGACAGGGCGGAAAACAGACGCCTCCTTCCCCGACAGCTCCGGTCCACTCAGCCCCACCACCACCATCGGACAAATCTTTAAAAATCTGTGAGGGGACGGAAGGAGTTGCTGATCCCAGGTCGCGGCGCTGGGTCTTGGCCTTGGGGATTTCTTTCCAAGCAATCCGGCGGGCGGGGAGGGGCCGGGCCCCTTTCTCCTGCGGAAGGTTATACCTCAAGAATAACGCAGTCTCCGGCAGTGGCTGCGAAGTCCCGGGCCGGCCAGTGCCGGGAGGGTCCTGCGGACCGGCCTCACATCACGCAGGGCTTGATGTCTTGGTAGGTGACCTGCTGGTGGTAGTAGGAGCCCCCGCCTGCCGAGTGCATGGACGAGGAAGCCATGGCGTTGAAAGAGAAGACGAATTCCTTTCGGTCACACATGCTGGGTGACTGCGAGTGATACCGAGGGATGCCTGCCAGGCCAGGGGACACAGAGGTGGGAGTACAGGTGTTAGCGTTCGGGGGCCAGACCGCAGGGCAGAGAAGCAGCGCTGCCCCGGAGCACCAGAGGCTCAGCCCGGCTCAGGCGCACAGCCGACCTGGGCTCACTGCCCGCCACATAGCGACCCGATTGTTCCTGGCCCTCGGCGGCGAGAGGTCCCGGGGAACCGTCCCAGAACGGCTACCAGCCCTGCTCCCCAAAGCTCCCTCAGCCCAGGCCTCTCCCACCTCGGACACTGCACTTCCCAAAGCTGAAGGGGAACGGGAAAGAGGTCGCATTCTGCCGCAGCCTCAGAGAGGGCCCCAGCACTGCACTTCCCCGGCCACCACCTCCAGGGTGGAGCGAGCAGCTGCAGCCAGGCCAGGAGGCGGCAGGGCGGTGAGGCCCTCAGCAAAGGAGTGAAGCGGCTCGTTCCTCGGCAGGATCCCTTGGAGAACACGTGCTGTCCGGGGCAGCGGGGCGCCCGTGGAGAGGCAGCCGGTCGGCCTCCCGCAGGCTCCTTCCTGCCTCCCCAAAGCTGCAGACCACCGACCTGGCACCCAGCAGAGCTCTTCAGAGCCCCTTCCCTGCTAGGCCCAGAAGGTAAGGGCCTCCTGGGGTGGGGGGATGGGAATGGGAGCTGGGTCCAAATCTGCTTCCTGGGGTTGCGTCTGGACTGGGGACCCGGGGGCCTGAAAACCTGGGTCCTGAGAAACACAAAGTCCTGAGGCCTGCAGCTGTGACCCTCTGCCCTGGCCACCGCAGTGCCCTGCGTGTCCCCACAAAGTACCCCTGGTCTCAGCCAGGCCTGGCTCCCTGAAGGGCTGGGGCCAGGTGGCTTTGGGCCTAGCTCTCTGGTTCTGCCCAGGCCAGCAGCTGGAGGGACCGGCAGGGAACAGATTGGTGGGCCTCCTGTCCAGGCTGGGGCCCAAGGTCCATACAGAGGCCTTTCTGAGCAGTGAGGGGACTGAGGGACCCAAAGGAACTGAGAGTATTGGGGTCTGAGAGTTTTGGGGACAATGAGCCTCCGGATCAGGCTTGGGGATGTAGAACAGAAAGAGAAACAAAGTAGCCCCAAGCCGGGTACTGCGCTGCTCTCACCCGGGCGACAGAACAAGGCCCAGGGTGCTGGGGAGCCAGCGCCTCTCAGCCTTGGGACGGAGCCTGCAGGAGCCCTCGGGGCTGCCGGCCCTGGCCCTGGCGACCTCGGGGCTGCACCCACACACCCCGGGTTCCCACTCACCTTGGAGCTCCGCTGGGGCATTGTGGCTGTTCTGGTGCAGGTAAGGCTGGTCCAGGGAGTGCGTGGAGAGGCTGCCAGACAGGGGGTTGGCTGCGGGGGGACAGGGCGACAGGGGCTGCTGCTTGATGTAAGAGGCGCCGCTGTTGAGGGCTGCGGAGGCTGAGGGTGGCCAGGCAGCGGCCGAGCCGGAGTAGACGGCGTGTGGCTCCATAACCCCGCTGGTGGCTGCGGGCAGCAGCGGGGAGGCCGGCACAGAGCTGTCGTGGTGCGGGTACTCGCCAGCCGCGGTGCCGCCACAGCTGCCCATGTATGAGTGGCCGCCGTTGGAGGGCAGGTGGGGCACCGAGTGGCTGGGGAGGGCCATGCCGTCCACGTTACCCGGCAAGTGGCCATTCATCATGCCCAGGCTGCCCTCCAGCGCCAGGCTGTTGGGCGGGCACGAGAGGCCGCCGGCCGAGCCCTGGAAGCTGTAGGTGTCCGGGAGGTGGTTGAAGCCCAGCCCGTTCATCATGCTGTACATGGGCTTGAGCGCCTGGCACTTCCTTCGGAAGCCGCGCGGCCGCCGCCGAAAGGAGCCCTCCTCGAACATGAACTCGCTGGCCGGGTCGATGGTCCAGTAGTGGCCCTTGCCGGGCCGGCCGAGCCCCTTGGGCAGTTTGATGAAGCACTCGTTGAGCGAGAGGTTGTGGCGCACTGAGTTCTTCCAGCCCTGGTAGGCGCCGCGGAAGAAGGGGAAGCGCGCCTGCAGGAACTGGTAGATCTCGCTGAGGGTCAGGCGCTTGGTGGGAGAGCTCTGGATGGCCATGACGATGAGCGCGATGTACGAGTACGGTGGCTTCTCCGGGCGGCGGATGCCGGCGTTCGTCTTCTTGGCCTTGGACGGGCCGGACGACGCGGGGTCCATGGCCGCGCCGCCTCCCCCGCCGCCGCCGCCGAGCGGGGGCTGCTGCTTCTCGGGCGCCGAAGACATCGGGTGGCTGCTGCCGCCGCCGCCGCTGCTGCCGCTGCTCTGCGCGGCCGAGGAGCCGGGAGGAGGAGGAGGAGGAGGAGGAAGAGGAGGAGGGGGAGGAGGGCGAGGGGGAGGGGGCTGCGCAAGCGGCCCGGCTGCGCCTCTGCCGTCATCGGCGGCCACCGCTCCAGGGCCCGGCGCGCCTCCCCCGCCCGCCCTCCCCGGGAGCCGCGGTTGGCTCAGAGCCCCTCTCCCCAGCTCCCGCCTCCCCCTCTCTCCTCCCTCTTTCTTGCTCACCCTCCCACCGGGAAGGAGCGGAGCGCAGGCCGCGAGGAGGCTCCCCGAGCCCGGCCGGGCCGCACCAGCTCCGACCCGGCCTCGCGCCCCACGATTCCGCCCAGGCCGCTTTCACTACGCCTCGGCCGGGCGGTGGCCCGCGAACAGGCTCCCTAAGTCCGCTCCGGCCCTGCCCCTCCGGCCTCGCTGAGGTGGGCGCTAGAAGCGCCCCCACCTTCGCCGCCCCGAGGCCGCCTGCAGAGCGCGCCCCGCCTCCACCGACCTGGCGTGCAAGTGTCCGCGCGACCCGCCTCCCGGGCCTAGGCGGCGCCGCGCGGGACGCTGCCGCTGCCGAGGTCCCTGGTCTTGCGGGGCACTCACGGCCCGAGGCGGCTCTCGGGGGAAGGAGCGGCGCGCCCCTCGCGGGCCGCGGCGGGCTGGGCTGCGGGTCCCGGGCGGGACGGGGCGAGCTCCCTCGAGGGACCGCCTACCCACTCTCCCCGCCCCGGGAAGGACGGCGCCGCGCCCGGGAGTTTTCGGATTCGCTCAGCAGCGCGCGAGCCGGCGGCCAGCCGTCCGGGGCCGGGCTGGGGCGGAAAACGAAAGCGCCGGGCGGGTCGTGGTCGCTTTGTCTCCGGCGCCTCGGGCTGAGAGCCGCTGGCCCAGAGGCGATGCAAACCACACAGGTTCCCGGAGCGAGCGGCCCCACTCACTCGTTCGCCCGTGCGTGCGCACAGCTGTGCGTGCCCTACTGCGCACACTTAGCACACATGTACATGTGATGGTGCACAAGCAAGTCCAGCAAATTACACAGACCCAGACGTGCAAATTCACGCCCGGGCGTGCATGCCCACGCACAAACACGGCGCTTAGGCTCGTGGGCGCTCGTTAATGCGCGCGCTCCTGCACACCCCACAGCACGCTGATCACGCGCACCTACACTGTTCGGGTCTGAACTCACACGAAGCCGATTCTCCCGCCCTCCCCCAACACACACACTGAACTCCCCCCCCCCCCCCGTTTGGCCCCGCGGCCCGGAGTCCCCATTTTCCAAGTAGGTTCTGATTTCCCGAGAGATGGCAAAGGCCCTGGCAGGAAGTTTACACGGCCCAACGTAAACACGTTCTGGGGGATTCTTTAATAATAATAATAGAGAATTCCGCGTGCGCGGGGGGAGTTGGCCTAATGCCCCTGTGGGCTCGGCCTGCCGCCGCCGCGGGGCCTCCGACTGCGCACCCGGCCAGGTTCCGGAGAGCGGGCAGGGAGCGCGGGCCGAGGCTGCCCTCGCGCCCCTGGCTGCCGGCCTAAGGGCTCGCTCGCACGCACGCCTCCGCTCGTCACCCTCGCCTTGCCGGCGTGCGGACAGGGCCTGCGGCGGTGGGAAATCTGGGAAATCGGAGCGCAGCGCAGGACCGCGCGGGAGGCCGGCGGGACGCAGCGCGCACAGACCCCGGTGAGTGGCTGCGGCGCTGACGGTCGCGCGCCGGGCTTGGCCTCTCTGCCAGGGTCTCGGGTCGAGAGGAGGGCGGGGGTGTCTCCAGTCTCCACAGGTCGTCGCGAGGAGCCGCACGGCCGTGCCCCGGAGCCAGCTGGGGCGAGAGGCGTGTGCCGGGCTCTGAGCGGGACCTGCGGCTTCTTCAAAGCCCCGGACCGCAAGGGTTTCTCCCGACTCCGCGCTCCCCGCTGGCCTCCCTCTCCCTCTCCCGGCCCTTCGCCGCCCGCAGGAGACGCCTGGTCGCCTCGGGGCGCCAGGCCCGTCCCTGCCAGGAGCTGGGGGCTTAGCCTGCCCCGCTGTCGCCGCCTCTCCACGAAGAGCAGAGCTCCTGGGAGAGCAGAGCCTCCTTCCGCCCTGTGCTTTCGGCCAGGCCCCGCCGGCGGACACCTCGGGCGCGGAGGGAAGGTCCAGGGTAGGCCCTGGGCGCGGCGGTCTCGGGTATTCTCGGACCCGGCCGCCGCACACAGCCGCCTCCGCGCCCTCCGCCCCTGCCTTTCCCGGAGCGCTGTGGCACCGCTCGGACCCCAGCCTGGGGCATCACGCACCCTCGCTGGACGCCCTCGCGCACTCGCATTCTCTTCCCGCTGTGTCCCCTCGCCCCCAGGGAGGGACGTCAGGGACGGAATAGCTGAGTTTCCCCGAAATGGAGTAACTTCCTTTCCTGTTCCTGCTCCTCCACTCGTGGGGACCCCCAGAGTGAGGGGAATCTACTGAAGGCGAAATTGGGGAGCCCTTTTCTAGCAGCCGCCTTCCCCTGTAGGCTCTGTCCGGTTTAGGGGTCTTGGGGTCCCATCTTTGGCTCACCCAGAATTCAGTTTTCCTGCCCCCCTTTGTCCTTCACAGGCTTCCCTGGGGGGGAGGGGAGCTTCTTAGGTTTGGGGGCAGAGAGCTGTGCCTGTGGGTGGAAGTATGGTGTGGGGGCCACGTTACTCACTCACTCAGGCCCCAGCAGCGAAGCAGACTCTGCCTGGACCCCAGGGCCTTGAGGTGTGGAGCTAGAGTCCCAGGGATGCCCAGGGCCGGCACTCGCCAAATCCTGCTCTCTCCTGGGGTGGCAGAGGAGGTGGGAGCCTGAGAGGGGAGGGGGGAACCACAGCCACAGCCACGCAAGGAGACTTTTCTGTGAGGAGCCAAGTTCTTGGTTCTCCAGATGCCAGAGAGGTTTCCCTTAACCAGACACTTTTGAGGTGAGGACACTGAGCCCCAGAGGGGACTTGGGCCTGGCCAGCCCAGCTCAGCTGGCGGGGTTGGGCTGCCAGTGACCTTCCCTCCAAGCCCTCCTCTCTCCAAGCACGGAGGGTGGTGGCCTCTCTTCCCCCTGCCTCCTTGTGGTCAGAGAGAGTGGGCTTTTGGAAGGCTTCATCGGCGCACAGCCTGGCTTTCCAGCTCCAGGGGAAAGAGACTCATGGGAAAACCGTGGTATTAAGATGGTTACCACAGGGCCAGGGGTGTAGCTGAGCGGCTCAGCGCCTGCCTGGCAAGCTCGAGGCCCTCAGATCGATTCCCGGTATAATATAAAATAAAATAGTTAGACAACCACAGCCGCAGGACAGGAAGCAGGCTGCTCGGTGGCTCACTATGTGGTACTGGGCGCATCACTCCTTAGACGGGTCCCAAAGGGGCTTGAACCCCTTTGATGATGTGGGGAGTTTGATAACTTGGGTGATTACTGTCCTGCCTGCACCCACTCCCAAGGTGCATAACCGTGACACCTCTGCGGGGGTTTTCTTTGAGGTCTTGCGGGAAGCATGGAACTCATTCGTAAACCTACACCCCACCCACAAGCACAGAATTGTAACTGTCCCTCCACAGTTGTTTGATCTCGCGGGAACTCCTCCAAGTCAGCACCCCCTCCCTTAGTGATGGGGCTCAGGGGGGTTGCTCGATCCTCCACGACCCTGCAGGGCCAGGACCCAAACTGGACCCCCCCACACACCAGGATAAGGGCAGGGAGACCCTGCACATCAGATTCACAGGGTGGATGGAGATCCAGCCCCCCAACCCCGCGGGATGCCACCTAAGCTGACTCTTTCTCTGAAAGTGGAACCCGTAATGCTGCCCACTCTTAGGCTCAGGGGAGGGTGCAGCAGGGCAGGGAGCTGGGGGACCCTTTCAAATGGGAGCGAGGCCTCAGGGGCTCAGCCTGCGAGAAAACACTGCCTTTAGCTTAAAATCTGCAGACACCTCTCCCATCCTAAGTCAAAGCTGTGTGCGCCCCCATGCAGGCAGAGGAACCCCCAGAACTGGGGTGGGTGGGTAAGAGACATGCCCGCGTCGCGTCCACTCCCCAGGCCCGAGGTATTTTCACTGGCTAATTGCTTAAGTGAAGCCGCCGGGCGCGAGCGCCGTAACCCGAGCTCCGAACCAGATCCGGCTCTCGGTGTGCGCCGGCCGCCGACCACCCACCGCGAGGGCAGCCGCCCTGCCTGACGCCCCTGCTCCGCATTAGCCCGCTTCGCCCCCCACCCCTGCTCCTCGCAGCCCCGCAAGCTTCGTCCCTTGGTAGGTAGGGTGGCCGGGCTGCACCAACGGGGTGCGGGGCAGTGGGGAAGTGGAGTCCTGGGGCTCTGGTAGGGACGGCAGCTTCGGTGCGGCCTGGGTCTAGGGGTGTGTGTTGGGCTTGGTACCCAGAACTGCAGGGGGAAGGTCAGGGTCGGGGGGAGGAGGGTGGCCTGCTTGGATCACAGCTGACCTGCGTGCAGAGTCTGCAGGGGCTTGGACCTGCAGACTGGTGCCAAAACAGAACCCGGCTGCAGGGCATCCCCCGGAAGCTGGGCGCAGAGAGGCTTCTGAGGACAGCAGAGAGCCAGCACAGGGGCTCCCTGTGTGTCGCCATTTTAAGATGTTCTGTTTAACGGTCTAACAGGCACTCGCAGAAACACCCCAGAATACTATGGCGCGCTGGGCACCGAGCAGTGTAAATGAGCATGCAAGGGGACAGTGCCGTGTGCAGTCAGGATGGTCCAGGCAGCCCGCTGCTCAGGTTGGCGTAGTCTGAGTGTGCCACACAGCGTGTTCCGAGCTCCGCAGGCCCCGTTGTCACACGCAGAGGATCAGAGGACATGTGGAGACGTGTGCCAGTGCAGGGTGCCTCGTTAGGCCAAGGGGTCACAGGGGTGACACAGCAGCATCAGCCGCAGCCGCAGGCAGAGGGATCTGCAGGGCGATGCGCGTCCCCCAGGTGTCAGGCACGCTTTCAGGGCGTGTGACACGGGGTGGACATGGTGCAAGCGTGACAGCGGACCGGACTGTGGCCAAGGACACCTGCCAGCCCTTGCTAGGCAGGGTAGGGCCTCCCCACTCACAGAACTCCCACCCTGATCCCGAAGGCAGGGTCTGCTTTGATCTCGGGTTCCAAAACACAATGACACACCTACTTTATTTCTATGGTGACAGATGGGC